GGCGTTTAATAATTAGGCTGTTTTTCGAAAAGTGAATGAGAATTGATTTGTGGATTCGAACCAGCTTGCTTCAAAATGTTAGCTACAAAAGCTGCTGTGGCAGTTTTAGTCTTCTTTTGCAGGTATAGGTTGTTATCGAACGGATCCAATCACTATATCATACCGCATTGCGCATTCCTAACTATATCTTATAATTCCATACGAAGTTCCAGTCGAGAAATGATTAAAATTCCTATTAAAATGGAATCATACCCATAGCTCTATGGGAAAAATCAGTCGAATAATGATTCAAATGGAAGTCATTTTAGTTTTATAATCTATTTTTTTGTCAAACTCAACAATTACGAGCTTTAACCTTCTCCTACGCCTCCTATATTCTCCATAAGGCTATTTAATGCTTTTTCTTTTAAATATTTATCTCAAATAATTTGCCAGCATATAAAAAGCTTGCCGAGAGCAAATTTCGTATGTCTTGAGGCTTTCATATTTTATGGATATGTCTGCTTTGTGCGGAGCTTGATCCCAACTATGCTTATACATATGTACATATATAGTACAATATAAATTATGCTCCCGCACATTTCGTTGTTTACGTTACGTTTTATCTATATATTGCGCCCTGTGCTGTGCGAGCTGTCATTCCCGTGTCCTTCAACTTGCCAGAAGCGGCTGCTGCCGTTGCTGTTGTTGTTGTTGCTGTTGTTGTTGTTGCTGTTGTTGTTGTTGTTGCTCCAGCTCTGCTGTTGATAAATTTCACGCCCAACGGTCTGTGGCAGAGTCCTCAAATTACGTTGACTGCAGTCCAAAGCCCCCGCATTTGATATCCTGGGTATTTTTGGCGTGTGGACGTTGTTACGGATGGGGCGTTGTATGCCCGGCAATGATTGAATGAAAGGCTAAAAAGGATTTCAGGAATTTCAACTTGCAAAAAGTTCTACGTACACCCACACACACGCACACACACACGCGCACACACATACAGACAGCCAGCCAGGCAGGCAGCTAGCTATATACAGAAATAACCTCAAACAAGGACGTTCGCTGTGTGCAAAACTTTTCGCCAGGCCCTGTCACAGCTTGGGGGCGGTGTCGTCCCTATGTATTACATAAGCATCAAAAACACACTCACACACATACACTGACAGTCGCAGTAATGCAATTTACAGCTTTGCCCATTACCAAAACATACGCCCAAAGTCCCACCCAACGCTCCGCATTACTTTGCTCTGCTTACTGCTGGCTGCTGCTGGCTGCTGCTGGCTGCTGCTGCTGCTGCTCCTCTCACCTCGCTGTTGGCGCAACAAATGTTGCCATTGTTGGGCTTGTGCCTGGCCCTGCACTTCCCTAGCCGGGCGCACTTTTAGCTGAATTGATTTTTCGCCCGCCTCACTGCGCATGCCGGGCAACCGCGCCGCTCTTTGAATGCAATTGCTGCGGAGCATACATATACATAGCCCCTACACCTAACAGAGCATATACATAGCTATATATGTGTCTGTGTGTGTGTGTGTGTGTGTGTATGTTTTTATGTATGCTCAATGTTTTTTTATGCTATGTACAGCTGCCCAAAAGCCTGAGTCATCAGCCCGAACACACACACACACACAGACACACACACACACACACACACACACACCACCCACTAGCAGCAACATAATTTCCAGCAATATCTGGAAACTGCAGCGCGCTACCTCATATAACACATACACAGGTATATATGCATATATATCTATGTATGTGTACATATGTATGTGTAGCTGGCATGTGAATGTGCTACATGGCCATATTTTAAGTACTTTGAGCTCTATGTTCTGGGCGCTTAAAGCGCTTAATGCGGCTTTAAAAAATCTTTGGAACGAATGACAGAGCCGTGGGCCACAATTCATCATATTCAACACGAATATACACACACAAGCACACACGCACACATACATACACATGCGTGCATGTATTTGTGTGCAATTACATGGCCCGCATTAAGCATTTCAATTAAAATGCCTAACTGTATTTATGAAATTCCAGCGAAGCTTTCGTTCAACTCGTGTTTTATAAATAGAACATTTTGCATTTGATTTCGCTTGGTAAACAGAAAAATCCCCTTTACTTTCAATGCACACACAATTGTATAACTAATAATAACAGATTAAATTATAATTATTATTATTATTATGGTTATTGTTGCGTGGAATTGGTAATATGAGTCCAGGAAAAATTCATGTTACTCTTTAATATATACTTGAAATAAAAAGCTGGGCTTAAACCGAACCGGTTCGAGCCGGGAATTTCAGTTTATTTTGCTATTTACCATGAACCGAACCTTAAACCATATAAACTAAACAAATAAAGCAAAATAAATAAATGGGAACTTTGATATAATATAATTTCGCATTGCTATAAATAGAATTTTGCTTTGATTTCACTTAGTAATTGGAAACCTTTATCAAGTTCCTTAATTTCGCAAAATTGTATAACTAATAATAACAGCTTTAATTTGCTATTATTATTATTGCCTGGAATTGGTTGGTAATATGAGTGTAGTAAATCGATTTCCATAAAAGTAAAATTAGTTAATTATATTCTTCGCTTGATAAATAGATATATCAAGTTTTACAAATCCAAAATAGAGTGTTTTCAAGTAAATGCGAAGATCTTTTATATTGTTTTCATCCATGGAACTTCTTTATCATAGTTTTCCTCTTTGATATTATATCATTATTGGAATTGACTGCGGCCTGTGCGATCTATTGTTTTCCCAACTGACTCTAGAAACACTTTTCTTTCGTGGAACTTGTGTTTTCCAGGTATATTCACAGTAGACGCATATGTTATATAAACACCTTTATCAACACTGGTCTCTTGCAAATATAATTCAAAGACTGTAAAAGACAAAAATTACATAAAACCTTTGCCTTACAGACATTTCTTTTAATTATCGCAAGTGACATTAATTTTATCTAGTCATAGAGAAAAAATTGCTCGACATTAAACTCTCCCCCATTCTAAGGTATACATATGTATGTCTGCAAGGGTATTTAATCATCGACATGATTTCCGCGTAGACCTATACGTATAAATGTGTGTATATATATAGATGTATATAACTATTGGCGGCGATCGTATCTCCTAAATAGTTGAATTGCCCTTGCAGCAGATTAGCAAACGGCGTCATGAGCAGTCGCCGTCTGTTATGGAACGAACCGATCGTTGAGGCCATTAAGCGGTCCCTTATACGTAAGCATATAAATAGTACACATGAACACATTTACATAAATATGTATGTGTACATATGTATATATATTATTTCTATTTGTAATAACGTGCCCTTTGCCGCGACGCGTTTGTTTTTGGCATAGTTAGAAAACGTTTTCTCTCCGTTTCACGGGGAAAACAATGGACAACTTTAGCTAAGGTCGCGCCTGTTTTCCCTTGTGTGAACGAAAATAGGCCTGTCATTCGGTTGCGTTGAGCCTTTTTTGCGTCGCATGTTAATTTATGGCGGGGTTGATTTTTCATTCAGGTAGCGGCAGCATACAATTTTTACCTGGGAAATGCGTCGTTACAATTTTTGTTGTTGTTTACTTTCTGAGCGTTTTGTGTCCACCCTAATTATAACAGTGGCCATAGCATAAACATTTGCTTCAACTGTTAGTAACAGCGAGCTGTTATACATCAGTAAAGAGACGTGTAGTTAGTTATCTACTTGAATTGCGTGCAGCTAGCAGCAATAGCTGTTAAGAGTGTTGAACTTTTTAATAACCTTACTGCTTTAGCCAAACAGGCTTAACATATATGTAATTATTACTCAATTTGCGCTGTTATACATTGTGCGCTGTTAAATGGCATGGCACTGTTGCACACAGCTTGGCAGCACCGCGCTCGCTCACACTCTGTCGCAAACGTTTAGCGATCCGGCAGCTCCGAAATGAGGCCGCTGCTCGTGTTTGGTTACGCGAATATCGGCATGAAAGCAGATGAGCAATTAGTAAGAAGCGGCAAAGCGATCAACGAAACTGTAGAAAATAAAAAGCCAAAATAAAAGAGAAATAGAAAATATTTTGTGTGCTGCAAATATAATAATTTAAAAGAAAAAAGAACTGCACAAGTGTGTATGTGTAAATATTGAAAAACCGGTTGTGTTTCTTTGCGCTCTCTCGCCAGGCACCGGCTCCAGCTCTTGTTTATGTGTGTGCATCGTGTGTGTGTGTACGTTTGCAAAAAAAAAAACTTAAAACACTCGCCAAGTTCTGCCGCGTAAACAGACGACGGCGAAGTCGACAGACGTTGAATTTGGCGCCGTTTCTTTTTTTTTTTTTTGTTTTTTCCCCGGTGAAATTTTTGCTCGCGTGTGTGTTTTTATATTTAGTCAAATATTGAATTTTTCTAAGATACAATTGGCTTGTTTCTGTTTGCGCCCATGTTAGAAAACAAAAAGCGCCCATTTGGCGCTAAGCAAAAACCGATCCTCATACGGATACCCTTCTTCCCCTACAGCTGTAGCAGCAGGCATAACAGCGGCAAATTGACAAGGTTTTTTGTGTAAAAACTATTATGCGGAGGTGTGTGGGTGGCGGCTAATACATATACACATATTTCTATATATATATAAATATATGCAAATATCATGACAATAACATGGAAAAACATTGGGCTATACTCTGTAAACACAGTGAAGTGTAAACACAGATTTAATTAGCTTGAAAAAAGTGTGTTTAATTATTGCTCTCGTTTCTGTAAAAGCAATGACTGTCAAACTGTGACATCCACCCCCAGTGGATGGCCGGGTGTATATAAATATATATATATATATATATATATATATATATTGCAAGTTTCATATCTCCAGCTGTAAAATTGCATTTACACGTATTGACAATGCCTCAATATACACCTTTTCGCTTTGTGCACAGAGTATGGCAATTAAAAATAATAAAAAACAATACACAACAAGTTGTCAACTGTTTTGCTTATCCATTTTGTGCGTTTATTTTGTGTTATTGCAGGTCTACAGAAGAACCACCGACAAACAGCTTCGAAAGGAACTACTTCGATCGCAGCCGCATAGTCTACCAAGCCAGCAACGCAGCAGCAGCAGCAGCAGCAGTAGCCACAACTGCCAGCAGCAACATCACTAACAGCACCAACAGCAACAACAACAGCAACAGTAGCAGCGACAGATCGCGCGCCCGAGATCGTCTATACAGGAATGGTTCAGCAGCAGCCGCAGCAGCAGCAGCAGCAGTTGGTGCGTCAGCTACAAGCAGCAACACGACGACAACGACAGCAGCAACAGCAGCAGCTGCAGCGGGTGTGGGCGCGGTTGCGGTTGCAGGTGGAGCAACAACAACAACAGCAGCAGCAGCAGGTGGAGGCGGAGGAGGAGCAATTGGTGGTGGTGGTCCATTGCCGCCGCAAGCGTTGGGTGATCGCAGCAACAACAACAACATTAACCAAAACACACGCGTACCGCAGTCATGGTACGAAGCTGCGGCTACTGCGACAGCGCATCTGAAAAGTCCTGGTGGCAGTGGCAATGCCGGCGTCTCAGCAGCTGGCAGCATAATGAGCTCACCGATCAATCATCATCCACATCCACATCATCATCACTACAACACATCCGCCTCGTACTCATCACCCGCCCACTCGCATACGCATACGCACACGATAGCGGCGGCGGCGGCGGCGGCGGCGGCATCCTCGACAACCGCCATGCACCGCAGCGTTGCGTATGCGGGCAGTGTTGCGGATGAGGCAGCGGCGGCGGCGGCAGCGGCAGCAACGTTAAACTCTTCACGCAAAATTCACCTGCAACACCACAACAACAACAACAACAGCAGAAGCCCCGCCGGCGTCAGCAAACTAAACAAGCTGCTCAAAACGGCAGCGGCGCGCTGTGGCTCTGAATCGCCGTCAGGCGGTGCTGTTGCAGTGACACTAGCAGCAGCAGCAGCAGCAGCAACAGCGGCATCAGCGACGACAAGTACAATCACAAACAATAGTTTTAGTAGTAATAGTTTAAATATAATAAACACGGCCACTCCAACGATGCCAATTGCAACAGCTGCAGCAGCAACAGCTTCTGTTGGCAGCAGCAGCAGCGGCAGCGGTGACATTTTAAATGTGGCCGCTGCTTTGGCCGCCGCCGTGGACAATGGCAGTGCGACGCAGCAGGGTGTGGGCGGCGGCGGTGGACGTGCGCCACGTCATCATTTGCATGGTCGGAGCACAACATCGTCGAGTCGCTCGCATTCACGTTCGCCGAGCAGCTACAGCAGCTCGCATAGCTCATCATCGGCCTCATCGCACTCATCGTCGCATTCGCACGCGTCCAGCCCGATATCGGGCAATTGTGCCGATGCACTCGTTGGAGTCGTTGGTGGCATAAACGCTACATCGTCGCATCGCAGCTCACGTGTGGCAGCTAGCAGTAAGTATTCCACCTGCTCCTTTAAATGATTGCAATTGAAATTCTATTTAAAATGTTTTCGTGCAGGCAACTCTTCAAATCCCAGTGGCAATGTCGTCAGCGGTGGTGGCTGTGGTTCGAGTAGTAGCAGCAGCAGCAGCTCCAGTAGCAGCAGCAGCTCCTGTTTGGCAGCCAATCCGGTTGTGCATTCCGAAGATAATCGGCCGTTGGCGATACGCGTACGCAACCTGCCCGCACGTTCCTCGGACACATCCCTTAAGGATGGTCTCTTTCACGAGTACAAAAAGCACGGCAAGGTCACGTGGGTGAAGGTCGTGGGACAGAATTCGGAGCGTTATGCGCTCGTCTGCTTTAAAAAACCGGACGATGTGGAGAAGGCTCTCGAGGTATCCCATGATAAACATTTCTTTGGCTGTAAAATCGAGGTGGAACCGTATCAGGGCTACGATGTTGAGGACAATGAATTTCGTCCCTACGAAGCCGAACTGGACGAATACAATCCGAAGGCGACACGAACCCTGTTCATTGGCAACCTGGAGAAGGATATAACCGCCAGCGAGCTGCGCGTCCATTTCGAAAGCTTTGGCGAGATCATCGAGATTGATATCAAGAAGCAGGGACTGAATGCCTATGCCTTTTGTCAGTATTCGGATATTGTGTCTGTGGTGAAGGCTATGCGTAAAATGGATGGCGAGCATTTGGGCAGCAATCGCATTAATCTGGGCTTTGGCAAGTCCATGCCCACGAATTGTGTCTGGATTGATGGTGTCGGCGAGAAGGTGTCCGAAACCTTTCTGCAGTCACAGTTCACGCGCTTCGGCACCGTCACCAAGGTCAGCATTGATCGCACGCGACAATTGGCTTTGGTGCTGTATGATCAGGTGCAGAATGCGCAGGCGGCTGTCAAGGATATGCGTGGCACCATTATGCGTGGACGCAAACTGCAGGTGGACTTTGCATCGCGTGAATGCCAGGATGCCTTCTACGACAAGCAGGAGAAGCAGCAGCAGCAGCAACAACAGCAGCAGCCACAACAACAACTACAGCAGCAGCAGCAGCAGCAACTGACACAGCTGCCCAATGCGGGTAAGTTGGGGGTGTAGCTTGAGCATGATTTAGAGATTGGTAACTATTGTTTTTCATATATTTTTTAGGCTCCTCCTCCTCCCGCTTTAATCGCTACGACTCATCACAGTCACGTTCGCGCGCCTCATCCTTCAGTCGACATCAGAACTCGAACGATGGCTGCTCGCCAGGCGGCAATACGCCTGGTGGCGGTATTGCTGGCGGCAGCGGCAGCATTAGCAGTGCTGGCAACAGCAACAATAGCACCAACAGCAGCAGCAGCAGCATCTCGGCAAGCAATGCGATGCCAGCGCCCAGCATTGCATCGGCAGTTGTGAGCAACACGGGAGCAACATCCGCAGCGTTACCCTCGGCGGTGGGCCCGAGTGCGATGCCCATGTCGCCAGCGGCGATGGTCCAGGCGCGCATGCGTATGGCGCGCAATGCGCGGCACACCATTGACTTTGACTTCAACGATGTGGGTCGACGGTTTCGCAACTTTGAACCGGGCAACAACAATAACAACAGCAACAATAGCAACAATAATAACAGCAACAACAACAGCGGCAACAGTCAGGCGCAGGACGAGGATGCGGGCGTTGTTATGCGCTCCGATTCGCCTGTAATTGCAAGACTCGGACCGGCTGTCAATAGCAGCGGAAGTGGGAGTGGCAGCATTAACGCTGGCAACCCCAGCGAAATGCTCGAGCCGCCGACACTGAACAACAGCAACAGCGGCGGAAGCGGCAGCGGCAGCAGCAGCAACAGTCGCCGGCGTTGTGGTAAGACACCTGTAGATTTGCGCCATCATGTGCACAATCAACGTTTTCAATTGCCAGAACAACTCGAGGAGTGCCCGTCCAGTGGTGATGAGGGCGTGGTCAGTCCGCGCAAGCGCATCAAAATGGATTACCATCATCATCATCATCATTCCAATGCCAGTGCGGTAAGTGAAACACACACACACAAATTAATAGGCTAGAGTGTTTGCAAAATGATCGTGAACTGAGAGCGCTAATTAACGCAGAATTAACTGCAGCAGGAGCTGCACAATAGCTTCCTATCAGGAGCTGCACTAAAGCTTCCTTTAATGAAGCGAAGTCTGCATTCAAAACGGTTTGTAACATTTCATCCACAAGGCTTGAAAACTGTTGTATGCAAATTATTTAGTTTGCTCACTCATCAAATCATTTAATCGAATTGGCAATTTCACCGTTCTGGGTGAAAAATAAGGGAAAATCTACTTTAAGCAAATTTTTAAAAGCATATATATAAGTTAAGAAATCCACTTGCATGGGTGAAAAATGATGAAAAAATTCAAATGCAAAGATAAGCATGTTTTATTTTTAGACGAATTGGCAGTTAAGATAAAACGAGATCTCTTTTCCACTGGGTGGAAAATGAGTGAAAAGCATAAAGTTTTAGAAAAACGAAAATAAATATAGAACAAAAATCTCTTAGATAATGCTGCATAATTTGAATTTTAATAATGTAAATAGGCTTAACGCAAGCTTTATTTTGTATCTTTGGGTCACACTGCACGATCATTTTGCACTCTAGGACTTGATCCTATACATAAAACCGAATCCTATCTAAAGTGTTGCTATTCTTACGCTTCTTTGTAGCAATCGCAGCTGCTGGAGCAGAACAGCGAGTCGCCGGGGTCTGGTGGTCACTGCAACAAGCCCAGTCCGCTGTCCAACTGTGATGTCATACACGATCCGCTGAATCGGAAGAGCGAAATACGTCGCGTCTCGGAGGCGGGCAAATTTTCAGCGGTGGCACCGCCACCAATGCCAATGCAACACCACAGCATGATGGTCAGCTGCCGCCGGCCATCGATCGATGTGGGCGCCCTCTCGGCGCTGTCCAACTCGTCGGCATTTCGGCACGGCCTGGTCGGTGCGAGCAGCATGGAACAGCAGCATCTAATGAATGCGTCGCTGGCGGCGAAACGACGACGTGTGGCCGCTAGCACGCTGCAGCTATCCCAGCCGCAACCGTTGCAACAGCAGCAGCAATCATCCTCCACCTCCTCCAGCAATCCTGCGAACAACAGCGCTGGCCTGCTGACGCCTTCGCTGGCAGCGCCCACGCCCAATGATGACTATCATCATCATGCGTCGCGCGGACGCGGCCATCAGCTACATTCCCATCATTCACACGAGGCCAGCGGCGGCGAGAGCGCCGATGGCTCCAGGCCGGGCACGCCGCTGTGCGATGAACGACCGGAGGTGCTGCCCACAGAGCCCCGACGGCTGCCGCCGCCACGGGAACGGGCACGGGAGCGTGTGCGCGACATTATGTGGCTGCCGTTACCCAAATTTGGTGTGTTGTTTTTTCAACAGCAGCGCAGCGGCTGCGGTAGCGGTAGCACAGCCAGCGGAGTATCCAGCTATTTGCAGCAGCTGGCGACGACAACAACGGCGTTGCTTGCCAGCAACAACAACAACAACTCTAGTCTTGGTGGAGGCGCTGCTGCGATGTTGTCCAGCAGCGGCTCATCAACGTCAGCGACTGCGTCCAGTTTAGGCTTTTTGCCCAATCCCTCCTCGCGCTATTGGCGCTCCTCAAATCATCATCATCACCAGCATCACAGCCATCACCATCAGCAGCAACAGCAGCAGCATCAGCAGCAGCAACAACAGCAGCAGCAACAACAGCAACAGCAGCAGCAGCAACAACAACAGTTGCAACTGCAGCAATCGTCATCGTCATCCTCATCGATTGGCCTTATGGGCAGTCCGGCGCGTCCGCGCTCGCTGAGCTCCAACTCAAGCGATTCGGATGTGCCTAGCGGCCAGACGGGCGGCAGCCCAACGCTGGATGAACGACTGCGCAACTTTGAGGAGAACTACGAGCGCTGGTCTGGCGGCAGCAGCAACACAAATCCCGGCCACGGCCACAGTCACAGCGGCAGCAGCCAGTCGAACACACCATCCTGGCAGCTGTCCATGCACACGACGAACCTGGGCGGTCTGGGCTCGTCGCATCAGGCGGGCTCCGGCAATAGCAACAGCTCCAGCGGCACTGTCTCCAGCTCGACGAGCAATTCGCGTCACAAATTTCTGGACATCGATGAGCTGCAGCCCTCAGATATTGTCAAATCCCTGCTGGCCAAGAAGTCCGTGTTCGACGATGACTTTCAGCGGCTCAAGAAGAATCAATGGTACGAGCCCGCCAGCACAGATTTTGCCACTGGCTCCACAACGTTGGCGAATGCACGGCATGGTGGACTCTGCAGTGGGAACACGTCGCCGGCGCTGCCCAATTTGGCGGCCACCAAGACGACGCCCATCATTGGCAACTGCAGCAGCATTCTCACCGGCAGCAGCACTCTCGGCAGCAGCAGCAGCGGCAGCTGCAAGACAAGCGGCCTGCTGCAGCGCCTGAGCAGCTTGTCGCCCATGAACTCACCGCAGGCTTCGATGTCGCCCTACAACAGCCCGTCGCCCTCGCCCTCGGTCGTGAATGCCAATGTGGCCAGCAGTCTTGGGCAGCTGGCTAAGCCCAGCAGTGGCAGCAGCACCAGCAGCAGCAGCATCATCGCGACAGCAACAACAACAGCAGCAGCAGCAACTGCAGCAGCAACGGCGGCAGCGGCAGCTGTTATTGCTGGCACGTCCAGCGGCAGCAGTGGTCCAACAAAGGGACTGCAATATCCATTTCCCAGTCACCCGCCATTGCCAAATACTGCAGCACCACCGCCGGCGATACAACCGGCGCCACCACCGCCACCGGAGTTGCCCAAAACAAAGCCGACAGCGGCGTCCGCAGGCAGCCAACTGCTCAGCAAGAGCCTCAGCGTGCCGGCGGCAGCCAATGAAACACGCACCGTGCTTCAAAAGTCCGCGTCGGTGCCGGGCAGCACCAATGTGGGCACCACTGGGAGCAGCAGCAGCAACCCAACCTCCAACGGTAACAGTTCCTCAACAACAACAACAACAGCCACAGCCACACACGTACAAAAACAAACACCAAACAGCTCGATGGATGAAGTGGAGGCCAAGGGCAGCGCCAAGAGCTCATCCGCCAACTCAACAACTGGCTCCTGCTCCACGTCCAAGAAGAGCAGCAGTAGCAGCAGCGACAAGTCGCATGGCAGCAGCAAGCACAACAATCGCTCCGATGCGGATAAAAAATCGAAAAAGTCCTCCTCCTCCTCATCCACATCCTCGTCGAACACAACCAGCTCCGATAAGCGCAAGAACTCGGCAACATCGCAATCCTCGAAGTCGGCAACACCCAAAGTGGACGATGAGTCCACCGAGTCGGATGAACCTATGGAGAAGCCCGACAAGGAGCCGCCGCGTCAGGAGCGCGACAAAGAGAAGGAAAAGTCGCAGCACAAGGAGCGACAGGAGCGAGAAAAACGCGATAAGGAACTGCGCAAGCAACAGGAGCGTGAAGAAAAGGAACGGAAAGCGCAGGAGCAGCGCGAGCGCGAAGAGCGCAAGGCCAAAGAAGAGAAGGACAAGGAAAAAGAAAAGGAAAAGGAAAGAGATCGAGAACGTGAACGCGAACGAGAGCGGGAGCGGGAGCGCGAGCGTAAGGCCCAAGAAGAGCGTGAGCAAAAGGAACGTGAGGAGCGTGAGAAGGAACAGCGCGAAAAGGAGCAGCGGGAACAGGAGGCGCGTCAGGCGCGCATGCGTGACATGTCCGCCTATCACAAGAACAAATCAGATGCCACATCCGAAGCGAGCAGCTTCTACGCCCACAATCCAGCCACGCCCAACGAGTGTGAGCGACAAAACAATAAAGAGAATGCCGTTGCCACGGATACAACCACAACAACAGCAGCAGCCACAGCAGCAGCAACAGGAGCAGCTTCAGGCAGCGCTTCCACTGAGAGCAGCAGCAAGGATCGTTCCCGCAAATCGTCACGCAATTCGCCCGTGCCCAGCACTGGCCGCCAGCACAAGCGACGCCTCAGTTCTCAGGACAGCAATCACAGCAGCGGTGGCGCAGGCGGTGGACAGAATCATGAGGATTACGTAAAGCGTATACGCATGGAGAACACCAACCCGAGCCAATCGCAATCCCAATCGCAATCGCATTCGCAAAGCAATCATCAGCGTCTCGGCGATCGTCGCGACTCCAAGGAGCACAAGAGCAGCAGCAGCAGCGGCGGCTGCAAGGACGAAAAGCTCAGCTCCTCCAAATCGCACGGCAGCAGCAGCAGCAGCTCCAAGCATCATCGACGCGACAAGCATCACAGCAAGAGCGCCAGCAGCAGCGAGGTGGTAAACAATACCGAGCTGGATGCCAAGCAGCAACAGTTGCACACGCTCAATACCAGCGAGGAGGAGCAGCAGCAACCGGCCCAGACGCAGCATCAGCAGCAGCAACATTCGCAGCAGCAGCAGCAGCAGCAACGACAACCGTCGATGCACAAGCAGCAGCGCGAGCATCATCACCATGGCAGCTCCTCGTCGTCGTCGCGGCACAAGAGCAAGCGTGACCATCATCATCATCGCGAGAAGAAGCGACATTCGGTGGCCGAGTCCACCAATACGGACGAGGAGCCCACACACAATCCGCACAGACGCATCTCAGCGGCGGGCAGTTCCGCGGGCGAGCTTAGCTCGAACACAGCCAACACAAATACCTCCAGCAGCAAGTTGCATCATCATCATCATCATCAGCAGCAACAGCAGCAGCAACAGCAGCAGCAACAACAGCAGCAGCAGTCGCACCATCATCATCATCATCATCGTCGTAGCGTGGAGCGTAAATCATCGCGTGGCTCAGACGAAGGAGGCGCTTCCTCGAAGAGCGCTTCACAGCCGCGCAAAATGATGCTCAGCTCCGCGGACTCCGATGACACAGATGATGCGTCCAAGAAGCATTCCATCTTTGATATACCCGACGATTGCCCGAATGTCTCCATGTACGACAAGGTTAAGGCGCGCAGCTGCAAGAATATGCAACGCCAGGCCGAGGAGAAGAAGATCAAGGCCAAGTTCTCGCAGCTGAAGCAATCGCGAGCCAAAAAGAAGCGCTCCACCAGCTACGACGGCGACAGCGACACCGAGTTCGAGGATCGCCTGCATCATCGCCTCAGCGGCAGCAGCAGCTTCCATGGCCGCAATCATGGCGGCCTCAGCAGCAGCGATGAGGGTAACGACGATGAGGATGGGTATCGCAGAAAGCTGTCACAGAGTCGCATATTCTCCGACTCGGATGCCGATGGCGATGTGGATGCGGAGGCGGCGGCATTGAATGCCAGCCGCATGCGCCAGCAAATGCAACAGAATTTGCTTCGGCTGTGCGACGGCGATGATAGCTCCGAGGATGAGATACGTCGCAATGTGATTGGACACGCGGGCAAAAGGAACTGCCTTTCGACGCGCATTGCCTCCGACTCGGAATCGCAATCGCAGCCAGCACCCGAGCTGATCGGCAGCAGCAGCGTGGGCAGCGCCAGCATCAAGCAGGAGCCGGACATTAAGCAGGAACAGATCTCGGACAGCGAAATGCAAAAGTATCCAAAGTCGCGTCACAATTCGCACTCCTCCAACGAGGAGCGCAAACTGAAGACGGAATTCAAGAAGGAGTATACCGAGTACTTCAGCGCCGGCTACACGGGCTTCGTGGGCGACAGTTCCGCCAAGCTCAAGGAGTTCTCACCAGAAGCGCGCAAGAAGCACAAGAAGAGCAAGAAGCGTCTCAAGTCCTCGGCAGATGTCAGCTCCACTGTTGTGGCCGCTGTCACCGGCAGCAGCACGGGCAGCGGCAGCATCTTTGATGTGGCCGATTGCAAGCCCACCAAATTCGACACCTTCGATGAGCTAAAGACCGAGCAGCAGCAGCCGCAGCAGCAGCAGCAGGTAGTGATCGCCGCTCCCACATTGGATGTAAATGCCTCCTCGGTGGTGGCGGTGGCCAGCGAGCGGCGCAAGCACAAGGAGCGCAAGGAGAAGAAACGCGAGAAGCTGCGCAACATGAGCGAAACGAACGCCGGCGGCTCTGTCGAACAGCTTAGCGAGAAGCTGTCCAAGGAGGAGCGGCATCGGCTGAAAAAGTCCAAGAAATCCAAGAGCCTGGACACATCGGCACGCCTATACAATGCATCCAATGCCTCCTCGCCACCGACGCCCAGCACACTGAGCACGCCGGCGCGTGAGTCGGCGAAACGTAGCGAGGACAAAATGGAGGACATCTTTGGTATTATCTCCGACGAGGAGGAGGAAGAGGAGGAATCCCAGCTGACCGACGAGCCACCCGACACGGCCAAAGTGCAGCTTTCCACCACAGGACCCATGGTGTCCGCCGCGCTGCAGACCTACAAACAGGAGACGCCTCTCCTCAGCCTCAACAGCAACAAGGAGCCGGCAACGCAGCAGCTGCAGCAGCAACAGGAGGAGCTCGAGCTGGAGCGCAGTGAACGCGAGCGGCATCGCAAGGAGAAGCGCGAGAAGAAGCGACGCGAAAAGTCCGCACGCGAGCAACAACAGCAGCAACAACAGCAGCAGCAACATCAACAGCAGCAGCAGCAAAATGCAAGCAAGCTGGATGACGACAACAGCGTGGACATGGATGAGGCGGGACGTGCACTAGAGGCGCAGCTTATGGATGATTTTGACAGCAATAAGTTGCCGGAAGATGCGACGCCCTCCACGGCAACCACCTATCGCAGCGATATGACGGACGTGTTCCGTTTCTCGGACAACGAGGATAACAACTCCATCGAGCCGCAGCAGCAGCAGCACCTGCAGCTGCCGTCGCAGTCCAGCGAGAAGCAGCAGCAGCAGCAGCTGATCGACTCCAAGGAAGCGGTGCACAAGAGCAAGGACAAGAAGAAAAAGAAGAAGCGCTCCAAGGAGGAGAAGCAAGAGAAGCTCGACAAACAACAACAGCAACAGTTGCAGCTGCGTCGCGAGTCAACGACAGCAACAGCTGCTGGTCAGGCAGCTGGCGGCAGCGCTTCTTCGGTCAGCTCACTCACCATCAATGTGCAAGCAGCGTCAAAGCATGCCGAGGAGCAGCAGGAGAAGGAATCGAAGCGCAGTTCGCCGCTCTGCAAACCTTCGCCCAGCTTGCCCTGTCTTATTGGCGATGACGATGATGAGGAGCCGCCCATCTGCCCAAAGCCCGTCATCAAACCCTCAGCTAGCAGCGCCAGCAGCAGCAGCAACAATCGCCTGAACACGGACACGCTTTCACCGGCCCGCGAGAAGCCGCGTTTGATAAGTCCCATTCCCAAGACGCCCACCATAAGCCAGAGCAACAGCTCCATGTTGTCCACGCAATCAGCGGAAACGCCTGTGAGCAGCGGTGCAGCGCCTCTGGTTACCACGCCTACATCCTCAACGGCGGCCGCGGCCGCAGCTGCTTTGGAGTCCAAGTGTGCCGCGGAGAACAGCTCACCGACCAGCGCCGCTGCCTTGAACAAAAAGAAGGAAATCTTCATACCCGGCTTTGATGGTCAACTGGACGACAAGATTAGCGAGTCGGCGGTGCAATCAATATCGGCAGAGTTCAACAACGCCTTGCTAGATGCACTGACCGATGAGCCCAAAATACCTGTGGCCTCACCACCCGGTGCCATCAAGGCACTCGAGAAGCTGGAGGATAGCAAATCCCGTGTGACCATCTCGCAGGAGGAGACGGAGAGCGCTGTATCCGCGCTGCTGGGCGAAAGCTTTGGAACATCCTCAACGGCGGATTACTCGCTGGACGGCATGGACGATATGACGGCCACGGTCACCGAAGTGGTTGTCGCCGAGCCCGACGAGGAGGCGGCACTCGCTGCCAAGGCCATCGAGGCGGCTGTTGAAGAGGTCCCCACGGAGCCCGATCCCGAGCCCGAGCCCGAGCCTGAACCGGTGCCCGTTGTCGTCTCCGTGGGCGTCGTGCTCGATGCCGAAGAGGTGAACAAGGCGGTGCAGAGTCTGCGCAACGAGGATATGGACATCAAGGCGGACACACCGCAATCCGAACGCGATCTGCAAATCGACACAGACACCGAGGAGAACGCCGACGAGGCGGACAGCAGCGGACCCAGTCTCAAGATCGACGAGACTGCACCACAGCACAGCGACTCCTCCGACAAGTCGGCGTCAAGTGCGGCCGATAAATCACCCGCGCTCGCTAGCGAGTCCAACGCCAGGCCCAGACAGGCATCCGAAACGCCGCAGTCCACAGTCATTACCAAGCTGGCGGGAACTGTGCCTGCGCCCGCACCAGCAACTGTTGCAGCTACGACTGAGCCAACGCCTAATGCCAGCAGCAGTAGTTCGGCCAAGTCCAATTCACAGCAGATGCTTAAGATTGAGCCGCCGACCATCAGTAAGCTGCAACAGCCGCTGGTGCAGCCGGTGCAAACGGTGCTGCCAGCACCTACAACAACAACAGCAACAACAGTTGTTGCTGCAACGGCAACAGCTCGACCTGCCACGCCCGTCATCAATTTGGATCTGTCCAATGTCATGGCCAATTGCTCCAGCACAACAAGCAGCAATAGCTCCGCTTCGCTGTCCTTTGGCAGTCCCACTGCCACACAGAAAACCATGCCGCTGGCCTCCACGCCCAAGCAGCAGACGCCAGCAACAGCCCAACAGCAGCAGCAACAACATCAGCCGTTGCCGCAGCGTACTCAGTCTCTCATCATGCAGCCGCCAACCATATCTATACCGGAGCAAGCGCCGCATTTTGTGGTGCCGCACTTGATATTGTCGCCACAGCAGCAACAACATCAACAGCAGCAACAACAGCAGCAGGGTCCAACCGGCGCCTATCTAATGCGCGCCCCCTCGCCGCATAGTCCGCTGTTGTCGCCGGGACGCGGCACGCCCAATCGCCAGCTTAGTCCAGCCACAAGGCCCATAGTGCCTACACAGCAGCAACTGCAACAGCAGCAGCAGCAGCAGCAACACCCGCTGTTGGCTTCGCCCACCGGCAACATCAATATGAGTCCGCTGGCCAGTCCGACGGCGCGTGGAGTTGGAGCCACAACAACGTCGCCCACAACCAGCAGCAAGTTGCCTACGCCCAACAGTTATCTGCCACGCCCAGCGCTGCCGCAGCAGCAGCAACAACAACAACAACAACAGCAGCAGCAGCAACAGTCCTCACCGAGCATGCCTAAGTCTGTCATTGAGCTGCAATCGGGTGGAAATGCTGCACAGAGTGCCCAGTTGATGCCGCTGCCTTTGCAGAAGATGCCGCCGTTGCCCGTGTCGCATCATCCGACAATCATCAGCAAGGTGGTTACTGTGCAGCCGCAGCAAGCCATACAAACGCAGGTGGCCAGCTCGCCGCCCATGGGCAGTCTGCCGCCGCACAAGAATCTGCATGTAAACGCACAGCAACAACATCAGCAACAGCAGCAGCAACAACAACAACAACAACTCTCTCCACAGATGTTGTCCAAGATGAACGCGCAGCAACAGCAGCAGCAGGTGCACAAGTACATGCATCAGCAAATGCTGGAACGCAAGCCGCAGCGACAACAACATGTGCCACAGCAGCATCAACAGTTGCAACAACAGCAGCAACAACAACAGCAGCATATGCAGCAGCACATGCAACATCCACCCTTGTCACCGGGCCATCATCACGCCACGCAGCAGCAACAGCAGCATCAGGCACGGCAGCAGCAATATCAAGCGCAACAGCAACAGCATCAGCACCAGCTGCAACATCAAGCCCAACAGCAGCATCAGCAGCAAATGCAACAGCAGCAGCAACAGTTGCACATACATAAGCTACAGCAACAATTGCACACGGCACAGCAGCAACAGCCGTTAACGCACTTGACGCCGCCACCGCCCATGTTTGCACAGCAGCAGCAGCAGCAGCAGCAACAACACCAGCAACTGCCGCGTAATTTGCAACAGCAACAACAAGTGAGTCCAACAGGCCTCAATCCGAGTGCACACAGCTCGCACAGTCCGCAGGCACAGCAGCAACAACAACCGCAGCAGCCGCATCCCGCTGCAATAATGGTGCGAGCACCAACACAACAACAACAACAACAGCAACAACAACAATCGCTAAATGTTATACAGAACGCGCCGTCAGCACAGAAAATCATTGTGCAACAGCAAATTGTACCTGCACCGGCCACATCGATACACTATCCGCCGCCGCCCAAGGACACGACGACAGTGGTGGAGCCGCCAGTGTTGCCGCTAAAGACATCTGAGAGCGTTTCTGTTATACGCACGCCCACGCCCACCATCAGCCTGGCCAGCTCACCGCAAGCGACAAAAGCAGCCGCTGCTGCCGCTGCCGCTTCACTGTTAACCGAGGAGAATGTCATCAAGATATCGCAGCCCAAGCAGGATGAGCTTATCGAGCAGGACTCGAAGGAGGTGGACAGCGATTATTGGTCCGCCAAGGAGGTGAACATTGACAGTGTCATCAAGAAGCTCGATCTGACCACGGCAGCCGCTGCGAAGGAGGATAACCAGAATAAGCGAACCCCCACACAACAGCAGCCACCAATTGATCTGGTCACGGCGGAGGCAACGCCTGCCTTGGCAAGTGAGCCGCCATCTGCAGCAGCAGTAGCAGCAACAACAGTTGCTGCCAGCGCCTTGGCCAATACCAGCTCTAATGATCACGACACCGAGGATGAGACCGAGACGCGTCAGTTGAACATGAAATCCTTGAAGCAGCTCGGTCGACCGCCCAGCGCACGTGGCACAGGCGCCAAACGTGGACGTCAGCCGCGCGGCGCCAAGGCCAAACAGGTTGCTGGACTGCCGCTAAATCCCACCGAGCCGAGCCTGTTGCTTTCACCGGGTGACAATGGTGTGCACACACGTCTACGCAAGCCGGCAACGGCGCCAGTGACGCGCGGCCGCAAAGGAAGGCCGCCGCGTAACTTGCTGCAGCAGCAACAGCAGCTGCAACAGCAACAGCTGGCCCAACAGCAGCAGCTCGCTCAGCAGCAGCAGCAGCAACAACAACCGCAGCAGCATCAGCAGAAGGAGCTTGTCACGCCCACGCCCGCAGTTGTGCCCGTGCCGGTGCCAACAGCCGCTGAGAAGAAGGCACGAAATCAGGCATTGACACAAGCCAGCGGCTCCAGTCAGGATATTTACGAGTTCCATGACGATGTGGGCGATCCGGAGCCAAAGGTCAAGGTAACTGCAGTTACTACCACAGCAGCAGCAGCAGCAGCTGCCGCAGATGACACGCGACCGCGGCTTATACTAACAATCAACAAGCTTAAGAACAGCAGCGAACTGGAGAGCCAAGCCGAGGTGCCACATGTGCAGACGCAGCAGCAGCAGGCGCAGCAACAACAACAACAGCAGCAGCAGGCGCAGCAACAACAACAACAGCAGCAGCTGGAGCACAACACGGACAGCTCGGAGTCTTGCAACACACGGAAGTCGCGGCGTCTGCAAGAGAAGGAGGATCGCAGCACCGTGGACGACATTATCGAAGATGTTGTGCGCAATACAAACACACAACAGCAGCAGCAACAATTGCAACAACAGCAACAACAGTTGCCCAAGGGCGGACAAACGCCGCCGCGACGCTCCGGTCGCAATGCGCAGGCCAAGAAAACGGATGCGGCACAAACACCCAATGCCTTGGGCAGGCCTAGGCGCTCCAAGGAACGCAAGACTATTTGTGAGTCGTCAGCTGGCGTGCAGGAGGAGGTGCAACCACTGTTGCTGCCGCCCCCTGCTGCAGCGGTGCCTGCAGCTGCTGCAGTGGTTGAGACGCCAGCATCAATGCAGCAACCACAACAGCCGCCAACGCCGCACATTGTGCATGTGCCGGAGGTCAAGGAATCACCACCTCCGCCGCCGACGCCGCCGACAACAACAACACCACCAGCAGAGCCATTGTCGGTGCCGCCTGTTGTCTTGTCCAAGCCAACGCCACAGCATCCGAAGAAGAAGGCGATTGCCGCAGCCGAAATCGAATCCTATCAGGCCATCAACTCATCCATGCCGCCCATGCATCAGACAGCCGCACCGGCGGCCACGCAGAAGATCACAGGTGGTGCCGCGGATGCAGTTAGCAAGGCTTTAATTGATCCCGTCACGGGTGTCATTACTGCGGGCATGCCGCAGGGCAAGGAAGGCAATTTGCCGGCTGCGAATGCGGCGGCGCCCGCCAACAGCAGCAATGAAGCGGCTCCACTGCAGCAGCAGCAGCAACAACAGCAGCAGCAGCTGCAGATCAGCGCCACAGTCATAGCACCTTCCACGCCCATAACAACGCTGAGCAAGCCCGTGCAGCTGCAGGTGCAGGAGGCGGCGGCAACGTTGCTTAACAAGCCCGTCAGCGTGCTGGTCAAGAGCAATGCAACGCCCGCGCAGCCCACGCTTATCATACAGCAGCAGCAGCAGCAACAACAACAACAACAACAACAGCTACAACAGGCGCCACCGCAGCAGCAGCAACAACAACAATTGTTGGCCAACAAGCAGCCGCTGGTGCTGACAACTGTGCTACAACATGCACAGCACACAACGGTGCGTCCGCCGCAGCCGCTCAAAGCGCATGTGCTCAATCGAGAGAAGAACCTGCAGCAGCAGCAGCAACAACAGCAACAGCAACAGTTGACGCCCAACAAACAGCATCAACAACAGCCGCCACATCCGGGGCACATGCTGCTCACTGATGCTGCCGGCAATCAACAGCTCCTGCAGCCAAATCTCATAGCGCGCCACATGCTGGGCCAACAGCAGCAGCCACAACCACAGCAGCATCTGCTGGTCAATATACCACCGCCAACGGCGCATTCGCCACACTCGCCGCGTATCACAGCCGCACAGCACGGCCAGCAGCAGCAGCAACAGCCACCAAATGCGCCACAACTGCAGCAGCAACAACAGCAGACTCTGGTCATCAAGCAGGCAACAGCCGCAGCGCCAACAGCGCATCCGCAAATACTGCATGTGGTTAGCTCAAAGGCTTCGGTATTGCCAACGCAGCAGCAACAACAACCGCCGCAGCAGCTGAACAAACAGAGCTTTGGCTATGTACAACAAACACCACAGCAACAACAACAACAACAACAGCAGCAACCGCAACAGCTGTACAAACAGGCTGTGCAGCAGAAGAGCGCACAGCCGGTGCAGGTGTTGCCGCCGCATAATCTCTTGTTGCCCGCACACTCGGCGCTGTTGTTGCAGCCAAAGCCAGCGGCTCATTTGCAGCCGCAGCAACATCAATTGACACCGTCGCCGCCACCGGGCAAGCCCAATCCTGTGGTGCACAGCCTACAAGCGGTGGGTCAATTGTTGCCCGGCAGCATTGGCAGCCCGCCACCAATGAAGCCAGGACAACAGCAACAAGCCAACACAGCTGCAGGTAAGTCCCTAAACCTAGACATTTGTCGACAAATCCTAATTAAAACATAATTTGTTTGCAGTTCTGCGCACCGCCATACCGAACATCAGTCCACAGGGTCAGCCGCGCGTCTCGCCGCTGGTGCTGCCACCGGGCATGGCCGGCGTGCCGCCCTTCGATGCCAGCATGGTAAGTCCTTGTCCCTATACTAACACTAGCATACAGCTGTTGTGCTCTTGCTAAGCTCTTGTCCAAGCTAACAATCTACTTGCTTAACTTAACACCCTTGCCTTGCCAAAATGGACGCAGCATGATCTGGGCGCCTATGTCAGCGGACGGCGTACACAGAGCCCGCCGCCAGCGCATCAGCAGGCATCGCCCATAACACCGGTAATGCACAAGTTTTACATGCGGAACTTTGAAGTAGCGTAACCCAAGAACAACCCCAATAAAAAACAATTAAACAACTAACAACATTTAATATAGGTGCCTGCCTTTTAGATATACTCTAATCTCGTCTACCCATTTCACTTGCAGAATGATACCGCGTATCGGGCCGCCATGCTTTATCAACACCACATGATGCGCAGCGGTGACTATGACGACAAGATGATTAGCAGCAGTCCGCCATTGGAGCTGCGTCGTCCGGGCAGTGGACCACCGCGCACCATTACCGTGCCGCACAGCCTACAGAGTCCACAGGATCGCACTGCAGCGGGTAAGAGCATATTGAGCTCCAGATAAACTTAAGATCCCAGCTTAATCAATTACCCATTCTACCCATTCACAGACTCGCCGCAGATGGCTCAGGTGTATGTGCACAATGCGCGCATACCGCACGCCCACTTCAGCGAGATGGCCACACGTGGCGGCTACTATGAGAGTGCCGGCATGCAGCTGGAGCCGCCGCCGGCGCACCGTGCGGCAGCATCGATAAGTGTTGTGGTGCCACCACCGCCGACAGTTGCCAGCGGCAGTCCGTACATCAGCGGCGGTGCCTCAGTGTCTGTGTCCGTGCAGCCGGGTCCGCATAGTCTACATCCCAGCCAGGCCAAGCTCTTGGAGCGCGAACGCGAGAACGAACGGCTGTCCATAGTAGCAGCAGTTGGTGCGTATACAAATGCCAGACAACTTGTGGCAATCGGGACTCACACTAATCCATTTACAGCCAAGCAACAGCAGGAGCATTTGACCGCGTCTGTAATGCACGGCGGCATGGAGCTGACCGCACAGCAGCCGCAGCCCCAGCCAGGGCCACCACCACCCGCCGCAATGCCACCGCCGCCGGGTGACTCGCTCGTCACATTGCTGCAACGCTATCCGGTCATGTGGCAGGGTCTGTTGGCACTGAAGACCGATCAGGCGGCCGTTCAGATGCACTTTGTGCACGGCAATCCAAATGTGGCGCGTGCCTCGCTGCCCAGCATGGTGGAGAGTGCCACACCACAACTGCGTATCGCGCAGCGCATGCGTCTCGAGCAGACGCAGCTGGAGGGTGTTGCCAAAAAGATGCAGGTGCGTAAATATATTTTATTTAATTATATTACACTTAATTAACTAATTGGACGCATTGTTGTTATGCGCAGGTGGACAAGGAGCACTGCATGCTGCTGGCGCTGCCATGTGGACGCGATCATGCGGACGTGCTGCAGCATTCGCGTAATCTGCAGACCGGATTCATAACCTATCTGCAGCAGAAGATGGCAGCTGGCATTGTGAATATACCCATGCCGGGCAGCGATCAGGCTGCGTATGTGGTTCACATATTTCCCGCATGCGATTTCGCCAATGAGAATCTGGAGCGTGCTGCGCCCGATCTCAAGAATCGTGTTGCCGAGCTGGCGCATCTATTGATTGTCATTGCCACCGTCTAATCGAATCGCAGGCGGTTGGTTTTAACCGGATCTACGTAAACCACACACAGATATGAAAATTAAACAATCACCGACTATGTCTAAATATATGAAAACTGCAAGAACAACCACAACAAGAACATCTGAAGAACAACTGAAACAAACACATGTAAAGTAAACAAAAAACCAACCAATAATACAAAAACAACAACTACCAACTACAACAAAGCTAAAACAAGTTACGCTCTTCTAGTATTTTAAGTAATTTTAAATAGCGTTTAAACAAAACACAAAAGTTTAAAGCAAAACTAAACAAAAAACAAAAAGTAAAGAGAAAAAAAATGCAAACTTTATTGAAATAAATAAATGCAAGCGAAAGAGAGAGAGAGAGAGAGAGAGTTGAGGCCAAGCTCATAAAGCAATCGAAATTGATTAATGGCAACTAAAACAAACCAATGTAAATCCGTAAAACAACCCTCTTGAACAGCCTCCCCCCGCAAATCCTCCAACATAATATATACATTGTGTAAAACGTAAACAAAACAACAACAACAAAAAAACAGAAGGAAAAAAACTAAAATTGCAAAAATATGTTTGTCAAAATTTTCGTTTCTTTTCTTTTCATAAACATAATACATAATAATTTTTAACAACATTTTTGAAAGCTTGCAAAGTATCGTTAAGTTTGATCTCAAGAAAGTTTTTATTTTTTTTTTTGCTTATAATTTAAAATGAAAATGAAATGAAAACAAAACGAAAAGGAAATGTGAAAGAAAAAACAACAAATGCTTAAAAAAGAAAACCTAACTGTTTACTGTACTACATACTACTTACTACCATACATACATACATACAAGCATATATACCTACTATCCCTATTCGAAAAGAAAATATGAAACAGCAATAACAACACACGTTTAAGTTTTTGATTGGTGAACTATTTCACATATTCACCCACACACAAACACATACACACACACATATACGTACGCCCAGTTACTGCTCGCATTTTACAAAGTTTCGTCGCCCTTAATTAAGTAGTTTATTGATTTTGCTCTAGGGTTTCGTTTCTATTTATATTCTTAATTTTTTCAATTTGTTCCTCGGCTCCATGTGGTGCGCGTGCTAACCGCGCGTGTCGCATTGACCCGAAGAACGCCATGAGCGCCACCTGTCGCCAACTGCTGTTAAGCACAATTAGGTTTAAAGATGCGCCCAGAGGCTTTTTTCCTACAATTACAAACATTAAAATAGATACACACACACACACATACACAGAAATATACAACCACATAAAAATACATTATATACACACCTACATATAAATTACAATTATTAAATATCTATTTAATTATTATAAACAAATATGTTAAGCCAAATATTTTAAAGTTTAGAGACAAGTTTATTAATTTGTTGCTTATATATTTCCCTGTAGGGGCGCAAGCCGACGACAAAAATACACTCAACGCAGGCGCCGCCGCGTTGTTGGCATTTTTGTGGTTGCCTTTCTGCCGATTATTCACTGTTAGATTTTCCACCTGATTTGCTTGAAAATCGCATCAACAGTAACAGCAACTAAAACTACAACAACAACAACAACACCATCACTGCCACAGCACTGTACCCGAAACTAATTCAAGCAAAGTTGGGTGTTTCCATTTGTTATCATTTAAATGTTTAGTTCTTGTGCGCGAAACTTTGTAAACTGCCAGGCAGTAGCATTAGAGCGTATTTATATATATATATATATATATATAAAAATACACTCACACATACACAAACATATATATTTTAAGCCTGAAGCTGACTATAAAAGAACACATATACAGACGCCCAATACACAATATACATAATATATATATATATATAAAAGGAAGATGATAAAATCCCTCTGTACACTCCTTAAACTTAAACGTTTTCACGCCCACTTGTAAATTATGTGACGAAAAACAAAAGAGAAAAAAAAAAGCAAAACTGTAAAATATTTAAATTATTTAGCGTCTAAACGATAATTCATGTACATGTAAATACAGTTTAATTAGTGTTTAGCGCGTATTTAGTTGTATGTTTTAAAACTAAACTGTACATTATATAACACGATAAAGATACGATTATGAGAGAGATCAGAAGTAAATCGCAAAAAGGAAAAACATTTTGTCAGTAAACACAACAAGAACAGATGAAACGCTATTGTTTTAAGACATTTTTAGTTATTTTTAAGTTAATTGATGAAGAAACCGATTAAATTACACTTATTTCTAAGTGAATTAATAAACCAATTCAATAAACTTTTTCTGTTAAGCGATTTGTTTTAATTAATTTTCAACTTTACCATTGCTCCACGTCCAACCCTTTCGTTCACAATAGTTGCTGGTTGTTCGATAGACCGTTATCAGCCCACAAACCCATTAGCGAAATGAAACTTATAGTATATATATATATGAAAAGAACACAAAACCCTTAAATATATATATATATATACATATATATAGATGTTAATGTTATACCTGTAATTAAATAAATTCTATATCTATCTATGCATTATGTATAATAGTTTTGTTGATATTTGAACGGCTGCTATTCAAAATCCCGAACAGGCTTTTGTGGACACAATCATTCTTTGAATAATCAATTAGTATATAACAAAACAGTCTATTATTGTTAAACATTTATCCGGAATTCCGATTTTATTATTATTATTATGATTATTTATTTACATTATTTAAATGGGAAATGGTTAATTAACGGGAGAACAGTTTGTGTAACATTGGCTTTTCTGTTATTAACAGCGAACATTAACGCTAAACTACAACAGCTGACTTGTTCACATTTTATGTTATCGATATACAAATAATTGACTATCGAAAAATCAACGCGTTGTGCATGCATTCGGTTTTATTATTTAAGCGTTTAATTTGTTAATAATTATAGAATAGTGAATAAAAATAGTTATATTTACGTGCTGAACTGACTGCAGACATGTCCAATCTGATAAAACAAGGTAAGCGCACGTGCTACACGTTGGATTCCATTCTATGGGCCGCAGCAACAGCTGTGTGATTATACAATTCATTTATTTACGCGCTGCCGCTGCTGCTGCCCATTGCAGGCCTGCCACTCACATCGGCTCGTGCGCCGCTGCTGCAATTTCTGCGATTTCGCGGCAAGATAAACATACAACGCCCCAAGGAGCCGCACTATGAGCGGGCGCGTGTTGTGGCCGTCACACAGCCCAAATATCCGGAGCCGCCGAAGGCTCTGACCTGTTTTCAGACACGGGCAGAACGTATGGGGACCCAGGTGGAGAATCCCTACGATGCGATTATAGCGCGCGAGGTGCGCAACTGGTTGGATCATTCCAAGCTGGTGGCTATCTTCCATTTGAACTCAATAATGGCAGACGAGCTCTTTCGTGTGCGCGTCCAGCTGCACAAGCAGAACATGCACCTAAAATCCTATGGCCGCAAGATCATTGGCCAGGCTGTTGCCGGCACACAATACGAAGCCATTATGCCGCTGTTCCACTCCAATCATTGCATTGTGTTCTCGCCGGATCAGCACCGTGTGGCCGCACTGTTGCGCCTCACGCGCAAAGTACCGCAAATGGTGCTGCTGGGCGGCATTGTGGAGAACACCCTGCTCAGCCGCAACGAGCTGATGGACTTCGCACAGATGCCCGGTCTGCAGGCGGCACAGGCGCAGCTGGTGCAAACGCTGAATATGGCGGCCGGCAATGTGGTGCAGCAGCTGCAGGCGCATCAGTGCAATCTGGTCAAGGTGCTGGATGTGCACGCCAAAGGGGATGCGGCAACGGAGCCGAATGAAACGCAGACATAAGTTATAATTTGTTAATAACAATAACAGCGAAAAAATAATTGTCATTTGTCTTTCATACTATAGATAAGAGCTTAAAACTAGATTGCACTCTTCCAACGGCATGGAATGATGGCGTCAGTGGCGTCCTGTCTAGGAGGTAATTGTGGTTGCCATGTGATGCCAGCGCTGCCTGCAGTTAAAGGCCAAGTTCGCTAGCGCTTCGGCAGCATCCAGCTCGTCCTTGTGATGGAGCAGCCAACGCTCGCCACGTGCCGCAGCGGTGGCATCGCTGGTGAACAGCACATCGCTCTGCACGGGCCGCTCCTGACTGGCGCATTTGTGCCTGAGAAAAATTTACATTTCAGCATAACAGCAATTGATCCACTGCACTTGGCTCACCTGCTCATATTCCACTCAATGTGATAGTTGTGCCTATCTGGCGTGAATCTGGCGGCGCTCTCCAGCCACTTGTTCAGCTGGGTGCCATTGTTGTCGCCTGTGTTCGCCGGCATATTGGCATCCAGTACATTGCTGTCGCGCAGATACTTCTCCATCATCTGCTGCTTGTACTTGGTCTTGCCAGCCGGCACAGTTGGCAACATGGGCACGCGTTCACTTTGCGCCTGGTCCGGCAGCAGCTCGGATTCCACATAAAAATTGGGCTTATATGGCGCCGATCTGGTGGAGGCATTGTTATCATTGCCATCACTGGCCGTGCTGCGACTGGACAGCTCGTCGTCATCTTCATTATCCTCATCATCTTCGGCTGCGCACACGCGCATGTCCTCCTCCCAAATGCTGTCCTCGGACGAGATGCTAAACTGTTCCACATTGCCTCGTGCGTTGTGATTGTAATTCTTGATCAGATGACCCCAAGACTTTTTGGCCTTCTCACGCTCCGAGTTTTTTAACTTGCGCCGCCAATTGGCAAACCAATTGCAGATCTGTGTATACGTCAAGCCCGTCTCTCCGGCCAGTTGCTTCTTCTCCTCTCTGCTGGGATACGGGTTCTCGCGTCGTCGTATAAGCCAATCCTTCAGCATGCGCTTTATATCGGGCGTAAACAGACGCTTCGTAGCCCGAGTCAGATGCAGATCATCCTCTGGCGGCCAGGCGCGTCTGTAACCCAACTCTTCGAATAGAATTTCTTTTGTTTTTTTTTTTTGCCCCCCCCACTCACTCACCTGCTGTGCCGACGATTGCGTTTGGGGCGACACGATTTTTCCATGACAGCGAACTGCAATTGAAACTAGATATTTAAAGTGAATTCTCATCGTGTGCAATCCCCGCCCAGGTTATTGCTCATCCATAATTAAGCCAATCGACCCGAAATACGCTGTAAGGCAAATTCAGTTTCAAAACTTTTTCTGTTGGGTGGGTGGCGCTATTTCTGTCCACGAATGCTGAATAAAATTTTCATGTTTTTTGGCCGTTGTTTTTACCCGATAAATGAAAAACACGATTTGACACACACACACACACACACACACACACATGTGTATGTATATATATATACACACTGAGAAATATTGAGAGGCAATGTGTGGGAGAGTTGGCGTTAGATATCATCGCACGATCGAATGAGAAAGATCTCTATAAAGGGCGTAATGCCGAAATGTCGTCTGAATAGTTGGCATGCGAATCAAGAACCGATTCGTTTTCGATTTGATTTCTCAGGACACAATGCCTTGTATTTCTATACATTATTTTGTCGCTGAATTTCATTGATAAAACTCGGTGGCCATGTTTTTTCCAATATATATATATATATATACAAATGTATTCATATATAAATCTGTTTTATGAAGAAAAAAAACACTAGAAAAACTGTTTACGTTTCTCAGCTAATTTTCAAGTACGCGCATCTATTTTGTGCACCTTTAAAGGCGCATTACCTATTGATTACTTCGATGTAATTATTGTTGACACTTTTAAGTATTATATAATCCCAATAGAACAATAGACTTCTGTTTTTTTTTTTTTTTTTCTGTTAACTGTTTTCTTTATTTGTCTTAGACGGCAATTTGATTTTGCGTATTGCTACATTTTTAGATGGCCTAGGGCACAGTGGGTCGAAGGCATTGCACTCGATTATGGAAAATTCACCCACCTGTAAATATTCAATTTCAGTTGTATTAAAATGTTTTGCTATTTTGTACGAACAACACGATGAGCCGACACGCTTTGAACGTCGCACTCGCAGACTGCAAACTGAGCGTTCGTACAAATTTTCAAAAACTGCCAGAAAGATGTTTTCGAATGCTCGCACGAATTTACTCGGGCGCCTGCGTTTAAGATTCGGAAAAACGAAAAGTTGCACTTATCACACTTTTAATCTATTTACAAAACTCGAGACAAATATGTGGTACACACACATAATGCCTATTTTCAAAGAACCACTGAACGTGTCTGTTCCGGCATACGCTACCTCAAGCCAAAAATGTTTGGCGATCATTAACGATTGATTAAGTGTCATATGGCCCACGTGTGTAGAGTGCACTAAATAATACTTTCGCTCTCGATCAATTCGTCGCTCGGTGGCCATGATGTGATTAAATTTATATTCTGTTGCAAGTTATTTCAAAATCATTTTACATATGCACAGCAAAAATTGTGAGCCGCTTTATTACATTGAAGGATTCACGTGGAACAAGCACAGAAAACAAATAAATAATTAAAAGAAAATAGATTTTTAGGCTATTTTAAAGAGTTCAACTGCACGTTGCTTTATATCAACACATTATTAGTTACCCATTACGATAATTTTACTAGACAAATGAAAATATCTTTTAAATACATTTAAAAAGGTCCCAAAGCTAACGTCTTTTTCAGCTTGGCATTCACAAGAATGTCCCAGTTGGCCAGGGTTGCCAGCGAGTTGACAAAAATACCAAACAGTTAAAATGCATTAAATAATCCCACAGCTTAACACGAGCTGGCATCCTTGCATTTGCAGTGTGTACACAGAAAATTTCAGTTAAATCTAATTGTTTATATCTAGAACGTAATAATTTGCTGAAAATTTTTATTGGTCCATTGTGGATAAATCTAAACGGCTGGCCGCTATGAACGATTCGGTGCGCTATGAGCGCTGCCAGCCAATGCTGGGCGTGCTAAGCGAATCCCAAGAGGGCATCGGCGCATCCGAATCGGATGTACCCCAGGGAATTGGTAACGTAAGTTGAACGTCGCTGCCAAAGTCTTTGTTCAATGAAAACTGACTCATATTGTTTTGGCCTTAATTAAATTGTTTTATTGTACTTTTGCAGGTGCTGTGCACACATGACGGCGTGCTTTTGAAGAAGGCCAATGCGGAACATATTGCTGAATTGAATACCAGCGGCTCCCTGTCCCTGGTCGAGTACAGCCTGCCGCGTCGTCGCGTGTATGTGGAGTGGCATCTAAATGATAACATTATGATAGCCGACGATAGCCAGGATCAGGGCGATTGGGCGCTGGTGGATACAATAGCGGGTCGCACACGCACCACATCCGAGTGCAGCGCCTTCAATACAAAGCCCGCAGAGCTGGGCAGCAATGGCAATGTTGCGCCAGCTCGTGCTCGAATAATGCGCGCCCTATTGGAGGATTTGGCTGCCGTTGAGGTGCAGCATCGTGGCCAGACATTACGATTCCTGCGCAAATCGGATAACGGCGTGCACTGCGAGTTCTTCTTTCAGCACGGCAACGCGGATCTCTTTGTGCGTTCCATGCGTCAGCAGCATTTCATTGAGAGCTCCGAAGCAGGTCGCAGCGGCGGCGAGGTGTACGCCATATTGAACACGGAAAACCAGAAGCTGAAAAAGACATTTGCCGAACTGGATATTGGCGAGATTAAGGCTACCCAATTGCCCAGAGAAAGCTGGCTGCCCAATAAATTAGCTGGCTTTCTCGGCAATATACCGGACTATGTGCAGCCGCCGTTTCAACGGTCGCCCAAATCGCGTCCCGGTTCGCTGGTGCACGGCGATCGCCAGAACTCACCGGACAACTATCAGTTTATCAAGCTAAGCGGCAGCACGAACAGCGCCTGCTCCTCGAACAGCCAGAGTCGCGGCGAGAGTGCCGACAAATCGCCAGCGGATAGTGAACTGGAGAACCTGAATGCCCAGGATGAGAAAATAGTCAACAATTTGCCAGCACGCCAGAGCGTGCAACGTGGTTAGTATTCGCTAGTTTCTATGACTTGCATCAATTTCATCATCCATATTTGTTGTTCTCCAGGCCAACCGCTCAACGAGGCGCAGTGGTTGGAATTTAAGACGCGCGACGGTCGCATCTCGGATAGCTTACGTATCAAAGAGCTCATCTTTCGCGGTGGCATTGTGCCCAGTCTGCGCGCAGAGGTCTGGAAATATTTATTAAACTACTATGAATGGTCGGACACGGAACTGGAGCGCATCGAGCGGCGCAGCCAAAAGACAAAAGAATACTATAAAATGAAGGCACAATGGCTGGCCATGACCACCGCCCAGGAGGCAAACTTTAGCGGATATCGGGATCGAAAGTGCCAAATCGAGAAGGATGTGAAGCGCACGGACCGTTCGCAACAGTTTTTCGCCGGCGAGGATAATCCAAATCTGATGCTCTTGCAAGGCATACTCATGACCTATGTAATGTACAATTTTGATCTGGGCTACGTCCAGGGCATGTCCGATCTGTTGGCACCCATACTCGAGATTCAGGTTAATGAGGTGGATGCGTTTTGGTGTTTTGTCGGCTTCATGGACATGGTGTTCAGCAACTTTGACATGGATCAGGCTGGCATGAAGACGCAATTTGCGCAACTGCGTCGTCTCCTGGAGGTGGCCAATGCGCCGCTCTTCAAATACATGTGCAGTCATGAATCGGATAACATGTACTTCTGTTTCCGTTGGTTGCTCGTCTGGTATAAGCGGGAGCTGGACAACGACGATGTGCTCAAGCTCTGGGAGTGCCTGTGGACGCGTCTGCCTTGTGCCAACTTTCACCTGCTCTTCTCGGTGGCCATACTGGACCAGGAGACGAACGTGATTATTGATAGAAAATACGAATTCACCGAAATCCTAAAACATGTCAACGAGCTAACCGGCAACATCGATTTGAAACGCACTCTGGAAACAGCCGAGGCCATCTACCTACAGCTGAAGGCATCGGAGGCGTTGCCCAATGATATACGCCACATCATTGGCGAGCCATTGCTGCCCCTGGCTGCTGGCGAGGAGCGGGAGGATGATGAGAATGCCTATTCGGATGATGGCTTTGATGAGCTGCGCGAGCTGACGCCGGAGGAGAAGCGACGCAATCAGGAACTGCTCGAGGAGGCATTCGAGCGATCCCTGTTCATGCAACACATATAGTTCGAGCCAGGAGCAAAGCCAAAACCATACCAAGCCGATGGCATAAACATGCGCAAACTATTTAGCTCTATAGCCTTTAAGACTCAAAGTTTACTATCGTGTCGAGGTGAGGCCCCTCTCGGCGCAGGGGGCTTCGCTGTTGAAGTGCTTTAAATGCTAATGCACAGATTTATACATTGTATATTATACATGTTTGTACGTTTTTGTATTTATTGTAAGTTCTTTTCTAATCCCAGACCTTCAATTGGCTTAAGCGATCGGTCCTAAACTAGGAAAACAATATTTTCAACGATATTTTTACAGCGAAATAAGAGTTAGACGTCAATTTATCTACCGAAATTTTGATTTATCGCATTGCTAAAAGCAGCTTTTATTGCCTCTAGTTAAGTTAAACTCGATTACTGTGAATATACATGCATATATCTATGAATTGCGTAGTAAAAACAAAAACAACAGGAAAACTTAATTTTTCAATGTTTATTGCAGCAAGAGAAACTCTCTCTTCGATGGTTTCTAGTTGACCCGTGTATCCTTGGTTATACCATACCAAAGATATAGTCCTGGTGAACCTAAAGGTCCGATTTCTTGCAAATTTTGCAGTGAAATGGTCCACAAACATGCATGCTTTTTCTTTCAGCACCCCTTTTACATTAGTTTAACGGCCGTCGTTATAGCAGCCCTTTTACATTTTCTGTAACTGTTGCCTAACAGTCCTCTGTTAAGAAATTTTTGGAGACTTTCTGGGCATTTCTGTTCGCCTGGTACTTCAGCTGGATTTTTGTTTAAATCGAGCCACCCAAGCGGCCCAGTGTTGCGGAAGCTAGCGACCGTTAATGTTTAAATATTAAATGCGCACAAGCGAGCTTCTATATGTGAAAATAACAAAATCCTGCATATCTCTGGAACTACAAGGAAGATTTCAATGTCCTTTGGCCAGTTGATACTCCTGGTGCATACAATTTACTTGGCACAGGACTCGTCAGGATCTGCAAGGATATAGCCGAGTAATGGCTAATTTTAATATTAAAAAATGTCCTTTTGACTTTGGCTCCTTTAAGGATTTTCGTCCGTTTCAATACAAAATCTGAATCGGCTAGACAAGAACTGTCTGCTGCCCAAAGGACATCAGGATAGTCCTTGAAATGGCCAAGTTATAGCCGATTTTATGATGTATTAAATATTCAAAAAATGGCCATAACTCGGCCATATCCTTGCAGATTTTCAAAGGACTTGGTGCATTAGGATCGTAAGGACCAACTACATCGATCTGCATCAAAACATTATGGGGTCATCTAAGAAAGCAGGACTTGTCAAATTTTTGTCGCGGCCGGCAAGGAAAATAGGCCCAAAATACAAAATCCGTCATATTTCTTAAACGACAAGGACGATGTCCTTGATGTCCTTTGGCCAGATGATAGCCCCGGTCCATACAATTCATTTGACACAGGATTCATCAGGATATGCAAGGATACAGCCGAGATATGGCCTATTTTCTGTTGTCAAAAATGTCCTTAAAACTTCCTTGTTTGAAGGACTATCGTCCTTTCGATGGTGTATTCTTAATTGGGATGGTGAGGAGTATCTACTGGCCAAAGGACATCCCGGATTTTTTCGTTTTTAGCCAATTTTGCGAGTAAACCCCTAGGAAAAAATGAAGGAAAATTTTTGGTGGAATCCTTGAAATCCTTGAATGCCAATCGATAGTCCTGACTGCCACGAGTTCAAAAAGGTATATCCTTCCGATATCCTTAAGGATATGGCTGAGGTATGGCTAAAAAAAGAATGTCCTTTTTAGAAAAGTAGCCATAACTCTGAAACTAGAAGGACGATTTGGATGTCCTTTGGCCAGTTGGTAGCCCTGAACCGCAGGAGTTGTTTGACACAGGACCCGTTAGGATCCGCAAGGATACGGGCGAAAAATCGCCTTTTTTCGGTACACAAAAGACTGCCTTATATCTTGGCTCCTTGAAGGACGTTCGTCCTTTTCATTGCTCATTCTGAATTGGCTGGGCAAGAACTATCTGTTGGCCAAAGGACATCAGGAAAGTACTTGAACTGGCCAAGCTATGGTCGATTTTGTGATCGTATCCTTTCTAGAAAAACAGCCGTAACTCTGCTATATCCTTGCCGATTTTCAAAGGACTTGCTGCGCCAGAATCGTGAAGGCCAACCGCATCGATCTGCATTTAAAGGAGATTAAAAATCAATGTTTTGTTGTAATTTTGGAAATTTATTTTTCATATATTTATCTTGTTGTTGTTGCTGTAGTTGTGTTGTAATTATCATACTTTAATTAAGATTTATACTTAGCATCTCTAATTTAAATTGTTATTTGCTCTTGTCTGTTGGTGCAACTGTTTTTTTTTTTCTTTCTTTCTTTCTTTTATACTGTTTATTTTTAGCTGTAGTTTAATGGATCGAAGTGCAAACAAAATCGTATTTCCATTTAATTTATATAATTAAAATGTAATACATATATACGGGCCAGTCGCCAATTACATGTACATAAATATTGATTTAATTGTGTTTTAAAAAAAATAATCGATTTGTCACAATAATCATTTTTGTTTTGTTTTATGTTGTGTTGTGTTTTCGTGTGGTTTGTTTTAATTTTGTTGCTGGTTTGTTGTTGTTGTTGTTGTTGTTGTTGTTGTTGCTTGGTTTCAATTCATTTTTAAAAACATACAAAATACAAATTAAAACTTATGCAATATAAATTGTTTTACTAATTACATAATTAAAATTATAAAATTAAAAGCGATTTGACGACAAAGTCAATATATATATATATATATGTGTATATATATATATATATATATATGTATGTATATGTGAATATGTATATATTTATATGTATATAGGACATACCGAGTACACAAATATAACATAGGCAGGACGACCAAGTGAATGAAGAGAACATAGTTAGGATCGGGAATCGGGTCACATGCACACATCATTATAAAGATGAAATCAAACAAATGGAGTGCAAATACATGAATTGGGATTCTGATACGATCCGATTTGATTTGATTTGATTTGATTTGATGATTAAAGATCCATTAAAGATACTAAAATATGTACAGGTTTTTTTGTTTTGTTTTGTGATTAAGATTAACTCTTGTAAAGGACGACAGCATTGAACCCAATTAATGCTACATATCTATATATATATATATATGTTTGTGTGTATACATCATAATAGGTGTGTGTGTGTGTGTGAGTGAGACTGTGTGTTTGTGTGTGTTTGTTTGTCAATTTGCTTTTAAGTTAGTTTGCTGTTTAAACATTCTTCTTTTTTTTTGTTTTGTTTTTGCTTTGTTTTTGTTTTTGCTTATCAGTTATCAATAATAATTTGCAATAATTTAAACCGTTATTCATCTGCGTGTTTTTTTTTTTCGGGCCTGGGGGTTGGGGTTGGGTGCAGCAGCAGACCCCTGCCCCCCCTCCCCCCTCCCTCCTTTGTTACAATTAAATTATAAGCGCTTTTTTAATATACTCGTTAATCATACGAAACGCACACAACAAGCAGCTCAAACACCTCCACCCCCGCCCGCTCGCCCGCCCTCCCTCGCCTAACGCATTAGTTGCAGCAGTGCGCGGCGAAGAGACAGGTAGACGGGGAGGGAGAGGGGCGTGGCAGCTGTTGCGTGCTGTTTCCCGCTTTCAGCAGTGGGCCGCGGGATACAGGTGGCCAGGTGAGAGCTGGTGGAACGCCATGTGCCACAGCAGCGGGCGCCGTTTGTTGCAGCATCAGCGCCCGCTGCTGTCCACATGGAAGCCCAACCAGAGTCAAGCCTGGCGCGCAGCAGCAGCAGAGGCTGTATCCCGGGACCGCTCACTCGCTACTTCGACTCGCTTTAAATGTATGTATATATATATGCGTAATATATATATAATATTTATATATATATATAAATATATAATGGTTTACTTATACTTTACACAACTTTAAGCTTAAGGGATCTACTACTCCTGTTCGCACAAATTCTCGCTCGTGCTCTCGTTAGCGTACTCGTTCGCGATCGCGTTCTCGTTCGCGTTTTGGAACTAGTTCGCGTACTCGTTACATTTAGCCTTGAGTTTAATTTGCGTGCGTTTGTCTCAGCTTTTGCCGCTGCTCGTCCGTTTCCGCTTCCGCTTCCGTTTCCGTTTGCATTACTCGCTTGGCTCTTCTTCTCCTTCTTATTCTGTTTCTGCTTCTTCGTGGCCTTTTTCCGTTGCTTTTGGTTTATCTTTTTGTTATCATTTTTGCTCTTGTTGTTGTTGCTTTTGTTGCTGTTGTTGCTTTTGTTGCCCTGTCTGGTTCGGGCGCCCACCGGCGGGGCGCTGTCGTCTGGCTAGGCGCGTCGCTTTACTCATTCGTTCCGATCCTCGGACTCGCTGCCCGCCGACAGATTTAGCGTGGCAGCATCTGCCGACTGGCGTGTGTGTCGCGTGGAGCGCAGCTCACGTCGCTTCTCGGGCGGCTGTTCCGCCTCGTTGCCGGAACGTGGACGCTTGAGGCGATTGGAAGAGCGTCGATTCTCTTCGGCGGCAGCAGCAGCTGCTGCTGCCGCCGCTGCGGCGACCGAGGAGCTGCTGCTGCTGGAGCCGCTTAGATTTGCCGCCGAGTTGTTATTGTTGCCGCCGCCGTTGCCGCTGGCATCGAGATCCTCGACACTGCCGCTGTGACTGCTGCCCGGGGCCGCTGGCTTCTTGAGTATGGGCTGAATGATGAGCTCGTCGGCCTCCTCGTAGGGCGGCGGCAGCTTGGCCGCATCCGCGGCATTCGTTATGGTCAGGGAGATGCGCGACTCGCTGCGCTCGGAGCGCTCGCTGCTGGTGCTCGCGCCGCTGCTGATCGGCGGCGCAATCGTGATGGTCGTCTGCGAGGGCAGATTCGCCGCAATCGCCGCATTGGAGGCGGCGGCGGCACTGGAGCTCGCATTCAACGGCGTCAGCGTCACCTTATCCTGCTCGGGCGTAGGCGTCGGCGCCGGCGTGGAGCAGCTGCTGGAGCCACTTACGCCGCGCAAACTCTTCTCGATGCTGGCGCCCAAATTGAGCGGCAAGCCGGCGGCCAGCGCGGCAGCCGTTAGCTCATCCTTGGTGGGATGCATCTCGCTGCGCGCACGCTTCGACTTGTGCGCCTGCTGTTGCTGCTGCTGCTGCTGGTGTTGTTGCTGCTGCTGCTGTTGCTGCAGATGCTCCGCATCGAGGGCGGCCGCATAGGCGGCATTGAGGCTGCTGCTGCTGGCCGATGAGGTGGGTATCAGCGAGATGCCCGAGCCCAGACCCAGCGACTTGGTGTAAAAGTCCATTTGCTGCTTGAATGCGTCCTGTTCGCGCTGCCGCTTGGCAGCCGAACTGCTGCTGCTTCCGCCGCCGCCGCCACCTCCTCCAGATGAAGATGATGCGCCGCCGGTGAGGCCAGCCAGGCTGGCCAACGAACCGGGACCGCTGAGTGGCAGCGAGCCGCCGGCAGCGGCCATCGCCTGGGCCGCCATCTCGGCGAGCAGCGCCTGCGAGAAGTCACTGGACATGCCCGGTATCTGTGGCAGCTGTGCGGCGGCTGCTGCTGCTGCAGCTGCGGCGGACTTGGAACTCTTGCTGGCCGATGAGCCGCCGCCGCCGCCGCTGTTGTTGTTGTTGCCGCCGGAGCTGGACGTGCTGGGCATTTTGCCCTGTGAGAAGGCCTGCAGCGCCGCCAGATCCGTTGGCAGGGCGCCGCGCGCTATGCTCTCGAACCACTTCTGCTGCTCCTTGGCGGACGCCTCGTTGGCAGCGGCCGCGGCTGCGGCACGTTTGCTGGCAGCGCTGGAGCTGCTGCTGCTGTTGTTGTTGGAGCTGCTCGGCGTGGGCAGCGGCGGCATGCCCAGGGAGCTCATGAGACGCGTCGCCTGGGCCAGGTCCATGCTGCTCATGCGGCTGAGCGATTCGAGTAAATGCGGATCGGCGCCGGGCATCAGCAGGCTCGATAGCTGTGCCATGTCCGCGGCACTGGGCGTCGCCGAGGCGGCCGAGTTGCGTTGATTGCTGCTCTGGCGGCTGCGACTGGAGCTGCTGGAGGGCGTTGTTACGGTGCCGGCGCTCATGCTGGCCATGGCGTTCATCAGATTGGCCGCCGAATTGGCCGCCGAGTTGGCGGCGTTGCGGGAATTGCTCGATTTGCTCGACTGCGACTGATGCGACTTGGACGACTGCGTCGAGCCGGTGACCGCCGCCGAGGAGGTGGCCACGCCGTTTAGCAGATTATATTGCTGTGCCAGCTGATCGTAGGCCGAGCCCAGGCCGCTGGAGCCCAGCGAATACGGATTGAGTCCGCCCAGGCCCATGGGCGGATACAGCAGCGAGGGATTGGGGAACAGGAACGGAAAGCCGGCGGCCAGCTGCGATGCCGATGCGCCCGCATTCTTGCCACCACCCGATCCGCCGCCTGCGCTGCTATTGACTGCGGCTGCGGCGGCTGCCAGCTGCGCGGCCTCGTTCTGTTGCTGCTTCTTCTTGCTGGCCGCCGAGGACGAGGCGCTGGAGGAGTTGCCGCCAGCGCTGGACTGCGACTGGCTCTTGCCGGTGCCCGCGCTCGTGCTGCCTGTGAGGCCGCCGAGCGTTGGACCCGCAGCAGCCATGAGCGCAGCCAGCGACTGGGCATCCATGCCGGCCAGATTGCCCAGGCCGCCCATGCCCGCCAGGCTGGCGAACAGATTCATGTTGTTCAGATTGCCCAAGCCGGGTAGATTACCCATGCCGGGCATGCCGCCGAATGGCATCGACAGCAGCGGATTCTTCGGATCGAACGCGGCGAGCGGATTCTTTGGATCGAAGCCGCCCAAGCCGGGCAGATTGGCCAGCAAATTGGGATTGAGGCCAGCCAGCGAGCCGAACTGCAACGCCGCCGCCTGATCCAAGGCGGCCGCCGACTGCGATTGCCTCGACGACTTCTTCGACGAGCCACTCGAATTGCCCGCCGGCGACTGTGCGGCACTTGGTTGTTGCGTGTGGCCGCCGGAGGAGGCATTGCTCGAATTGGAGGAGGGTCGTCCACCATGCGACTTAGACCCGCCGCCGCCGCCGTAGACACTGCTGTTGTCCATGCCGCTGGCGCTGGGCTTTGGTGATGGCGCCGACATCGGATTCTGCATCTGCTCCAGCCACTTGGGATCCACCTCATAGTTGGGATTATCGGTGAGCCTGTGGAAGAGCATAGAAATAAATTATATTGTATGAATGCTAATAATAATAAGATTTTGAGTTTTCCACCCAGTTTCCGCCTGCGCGGGTGAATTCACAAAATCTTCACATATCATATACAATTTTGTTAGGAAATCTTTCCATACAGAACGATTCCATCTATTTTTCACATATATCGATTTTCGCAAAATCTTTACTGATCAAATACAATATTTCTTTATGAAATCTTTCCCTTCAAAACGATTCCATCTATTTTTCACACTTGCGAGTGAATTATTTCAAATATTTTGAATTGAATTTTGATTTTCACAAAATCTTTCAATAGAAAACGATTCCATCTATTTTTCACACTTGCGAGTGAATTACTTCAAGTACAGTGGCCGCTCGCTAATAAAAACTTGTATTTATAATTTAATAGAGAACTATTTCAGCTGAATTTTTAGCAAGATGTAGTATTACGTAATTTTGCTCGTATTTATTTATACGATTTTGCAAAAATCGCAAATTCTCTTCAGTTAGAAATCTGCCAAAGTGTTTCATTTAGCGAGGCATCACTGTACTTAAATAAATTGCTAGCTTTGCCAAATCGCAGGCATGTTGTTGCCACTTACCATTGCATGAGGCGCTTCAATTGTGGCGCCTTGTTGCCGCCCAGCCGCTTGCCCGTCTGCTTGTTGATCACCGGAACCGGCTCTTCCCCGGTCAGACCCTGCGGACCAGCCAATGATTGTTGTTGTTGCTGCTGCTGCTGCTGTTGTTGTTGCTGCTGTTGTTGCTGCTGTTGTTGCTGCTGTTGTTGTTGTTGTTGTTGCTGTTGCTGCTGCTGCTGCTGCTGCTGTTGTTGCTGCTGCTGTTGCTGCTGTTGCTGCTTTTGCAGCTGCGCTGCATTGGCCGCCTGCTGGGCACTGGAGCTGCTGCTCTGCTGGCGATTGCCGCGTCGACTGTTGCTGCTGCCAGCTGCGCCGCCGCCGCCGCCAGCGCCAACATAATCAATGCTGAGCTGATCGCCCAGGGGGCTGGTCATGTCCGAGAGCCATTTGTTGACCTTGACGTCGTGGGAGGAATTGTATTTGGAGCTGAGCTTCATCGCCTGCTCCATTTCGGCCAGCATGTTCTCGTAGGCTTTGCGCTGTGAAGGCGGCAGGAATTGCATCATCTTCTGCTGTTGCTTGAGGAACGATTGCGGATCGGTGGCCATCGTTTGGGCCAGCAGTGCATTCAGGCTGTCCTTGCTCGAAAGACCGCCCATGGCCATGTTTTGCAGGGCGCTGAGGCCGCTGCCCGAGGAGCTGCTGGCGCCGCCGCCGCCGCTGCCGCTGCCCTGACCGCCGCTCTTGGACTCTGCAGAAGGAGAGAGAGAGGAGAGAGAGATTAGTTGTTGTTGACTAATGGAGCGCCTCGGCTTGGCTTTTAGAAAAGAAAGCGCAGAGACTCCAACTCACTTCCGGGCACTGTCGTAACAGTGATGGTAAATGGCTTCTGATTGGACTGCTGCTGGCTGGGCGCCTGCAGATTGGCGGGCGTCACGGACACACTGGGCGGTATTTGTGGTTTCTTTGATGAGGGCAGCGATGGATCCGGGAAGGTCTTTTGCTCCTTGGCCGCCGACAGGCCGAGCACAATCTCATCCAGCTTCTTGCGTTTCTTCTCCTTGCCTATGACCGGCTCCTCAATGGTCTGTGGAGCAGAGATATCAACGATTAAAATGGGGGCCATGCCAATTGTGTCTCTCCAGCGCAAATACTTACGCAATTGTTCTTCTTCATCAGCTTGTTGAGCGTGTCGTCTAGCTTGCTCTTGCTGCCCGCCATTGAGGGAAACGCGGAGCTAAGCGCTGCATGCACACTCGATTTCTTGGAGGGCATCGAGAAGTCCTGCACCTCGCTCAGATCGATGGCGCCAGCGCTAGACGCTGACTTCAGCATTTCCGTCATATTCATCTTGGGCAGGCTGCTGTTGGAGAGAGTTGGAAAGAGTTGAAATTATGGCAGGGATAAAATTGCACTTGCTCAAGGATTACACACCTGGAGGACAGATCCATGGGTGCACCCATCGAAGGTGGCGGCGTTTTCAGTGCCGGCACAGCGGGCTTATTGAACTGTCCGGACGATTGGCGCGACAGCGAGGCGTGCTGATGCGCCGGCGGCGGTTGCATGCCACTCAAAGCGGCCGCCGAGGCAGCAGCGCTCGAGCCGCCGCGTCGCCCGTCGCGAGCGCCCGTCAAAGCCTCCATGTTGGCTATCTCACTCTCCCAGTCCTTGGGCGCCACTGTAAAAGGGGAAAATGAGGAAAGTGGCATTGGATTATTTGTATAAATCTAGCTCCAAATCTTTACTTACTCGACGAGCTGTTGAGCAGCGCGTGCAGCTTGGCACGCTCCGTTTCCACATCGATGGCAATGTGCCGTTTGCGCTTCTTGCCCGCATTCGAGCCAAGGCCGCCGGCACTGGGCACATTTAGACCCGCCGCCGCCGCGCTTACAGCCGCCGCCGCACTGGCGCCGGCTGTCGCCGCGCTCAACGACATGCCCGGCAGCAGGGCAGACAGGGATGTGGCATTGCCGCCACTGGCCGCAGCGGCAACGGCAGCCGCGACAGCTGCATTGATGCTATTCGCATCCAGGCCCGGCAATGTGGTGGGCGCCGCAACTGGCGTTTTAGGCGACGGCAGCACCGACTGCACATTGCCGCCCGATGAGGAGACGCCCGCATTGCTGGCCACCTGTTGCATTTGGGAGGCCTGCAGATGCTTGGTCACGCCCTGGTCTGTGGTTATGGTTATCACATCGGGCGTTGTCGAACGTCGCTCACTGCTATTCAGATGGGGTATGGACTCGTGCAGGGCAATGTTCAGGTCTGTGGTGCCCTTTAGTCCGGCAAAGGCGCTGTAATGCTTATCCACGGGCCATTTGTTCGTCTCCACACAGACGACGATGTGTGCGATGCGTCGCTCCAGGGCGAAGTCCTTGAACCAGCGTATCATGCACATCTCAAGCTTGGGCTTCTCCAGCTTTTGCTGTTTCACAGTTGCCGGCTGAATGACCTCGAGATCGGGAAAACGTGCTTTCAGTTCGGCTGCCTGCTTTTTGCACTCCTCCTCGACGGCTTTCTCCTTCTCCTTCATGACCTCGTCGTCATCGGGATCGCTGGGCCCGGCCACCAGGTCGAGTATCTCCTGTTCTGCTGGCGGCTTCTCAACGCTCTTGACCTCCGCCGCTGTGACATCTCCTGTTTTGCTGGCATCCGCCTCAGCCTCGACTTTCTTGGACTCGCTTTCAACTGCTGCTGCAGCCGGTTCCTTATCTGCCTCTGGCTTTTCCTTAGCAGCGGTCTCAACGATCTCGTCGCTATTGTCGGTCGCTGCTTCGGCTTTGACAGCTACCGCTTCCTCTTCCGCTGCTTCAGCGGATTCCTTTTCATCGGCAACTGCCAACTTTGCGGGCTCCGTGTCCATTTGGATGTCTTCTGCCTTTTCACTCGACTTCTCTATTTCGGCTGCTTCTGATTTTAGGCTTTCAGCTGGCTTTTCGCTGTCGGCCGTGGCATCTGCCTCGGTTGCGGCTTCCTTTTCGTTGCCATTTTCCGCAATTGGCTCATCCACGTCCATTTTGTCTTCGCTCTCCTTGGGCTTGACTTCGGTTTCGGCGTCGGCTTCAGCTTCCACAGACTCTTCAGCGGCTTCACTGGGCAGCAGCTTGGCTTCATCCAGCGATTCCTTGTCGGCCTTCTCGGCTGAGACTACTTCGTCTTCGTCCATTTTTTCTGTTGCTGCTTTGTTCATTGGTTTATCTTCGCTATCCTCGACCTCGGCTTTGTCTGTGCTCTGATCGGCATTAACTTCAGCCTTGACGGGCGACTCCTTTTTGATGACACTCTCCTTGGTGAGCAGCTCATCATCCAGATCGATAACCTCGTGCTTGACGGCTGCAGCTGCGGCTGCCGCTGCGACTGCCGCTGCGGCTGCCGTTGCCGCTGCCGCCGCAGCTGCCTTTTCGGCTGCAGCTGCTTTTTCAGCGGCCGCGGCCTTTTCGGCCTTCTCTGCATTAAAGGCCTCCAGTTTGATGGTGCGCTGAATCTGTGCCTCGAGCTCGCGTATGAAACGCTTCTCCGACTCGCAGAAACTAAAGTTGGGATCGTTAAAGATGAACGTCTCGGAGCGGTAAAGTCCATGCTTGAGCACAGCCGCAATCAGTTCCTTATCGTGCCGTCCCGGCTCCCACCAATCGGGCGTATCGGTGTTCATGGCGCACTGCTTGAGCCGCTCGTCGAGCTGCGGATTGCGGGCCACTTCGCGCAGCTTGGCCAGCAGCTCGAGACGATCCAGTATGAGCTTGGCATGCTCCTTTTCGATCTCCTCGATGATGCCCTCCAGACCGCGCTCGTTCTCGCTCAGCTTCAAGCCCGCCTGGCGCCGGCACATGGCCACAAAGACCTTGTAGTAGTCGCTGAGCGTCTCGTCGCTTTTGCGCTCCAGATGCGCCATCTGCTTAAACTTGGTCCAGTCGGGACTGTGGCTACTGCTGTTGCCTCCCATTGGTGTGCTCATCTGCATATCGACACCGTAGCCGGTGAGCACGCGCAGAAATTCATATTCCTCGCGACGATTCCATTTTTTGGGTATCAGCTGCAGGCGCTGCGACTCGCGCTCCTTCGCCGCCAGCTCCATCTTGCCCTGGCGCTCCATTTTCTGTAAAATTAGGGAGTTTTGCATGAGTGGGATTTGCATAAATAATTTATTAAATATATATATGGTATATATAGATTGTATTGTGTGGTTTTTGGTTTAGGTTCGTTTATGTTTGGGATTTGGTAGTGTTTGATTTAAAGTGTTCAATACTATAAATGATTAAAAATTAGGCTCGAAACAGTCCTAATGGGTTCTCTTTAAATTGTAATCCCCTTTCACCCCTTTTCCGCCCATAAAGGTGAATTTTTCCCTTTTTTAGTTTTATTTTTTATTTTTTATGGAACGAACTCTTTGCGCTTCACTTATTCGAAATAGGTTTAGTTCCCATTGTATCTATATTAAATAACTCCTGATTATCTTTATGCTGTACATACCATATAATTCAAGGCAATATGTAATCCGAGACTTTGGAATCATTCAGTTTGTATGTCTATTTACTTGAATATTTATAAAATATTTATATATCTTATTGCAAAGTATTTTCGATTGAATTTCCCTATATATAATTCTTTTGCTTATTTATTCGATTTGTTATTTAATCACATTTCTCATGACTGCTGACTCAACCCGATTCAGTATGTTGACTTGTTAATAGATTAAAGAGGCATCATCAGACATGAAGTAGTATAATCTTGGCTACTTTACAAGCGTTACCCATTCATGGCATACCAAAAGCCAGGCGTAAGATAAGATAAGGCCCTTATAGCTGAAAGATGGATGTGGATGTACATATGTGTATATACTATAAATATATATCTATTTATGTATGAAGGGGGTCATATAGCCATGCAATTTGACTGCCGATAACCAGTCCAAAAGAGAGCAAGTAAAAATCCTCTACTCAAGAGTGTGCGACTGGGAAATACCCTGTATTCAGAGTTGTCGTAACCTACATTCGAAACTTGAATGTCCATAGTCCGATCTTTATCTAATTTTCATATTCTTAATATGGCAAAATATTCAACAAGTGAAATGTTCCGCATTTTTGTGTGCTATATAAAAACCAACATACCCAACTTGGTACCTCCAGCTTTTGTAAGCTCCGTCAAATACTTGACATATATTTTTCATTATCTCCATTAATGGAAAACTTAAAAATTTCGCAAGCTTTAATAGTTTTGAGATCTATACGAGTTCATAGGAAACTTTTATACCCGTTTCTTTGCCCACTTCAATGGGTACAGGGTATAGAGGAAAAAATGCAGCGCAAATTCATTACGAATATTTACACAATTTGAGAAAGAAAAAAAAAATTAAAAGCAACGACGCGTTCGTCGGGGTACCCCCGGAGACCCCTCATCATCATCATCAACAACATAACGGGATGCATCAGGGGTGGGTGCTGCCAGAACAGCTCTCAATGGTGATGCGTGCGTGTGTGTGTGTGTGTGTGTGTGTAGGGGGTAGTGCTTGGGGTTGGTGGTCGGTACCGGGCCAGCCTTTCAAAATTACAAAAATGTTTGCGAAAAGTACTAAATGCGAATGGCGAGCGCAAAGCAAAGGGGCAAAACGAGAGACAATGGCGACGACGTCGACGACGCCGACGACGACGACGACGACTAAATACGAGCGAACTGAAACTGAAACTGGAAATACAATAAAATCATAATAATAAAAGTAAAAAAATCCATTTTACACCCCTAATAGAGCGAGCGAAGCAGAGCGGGCAGAGGGCAAATGCCACAGCGACAATTGAGCACGGGACGCGCAGGCAGCAGGAGACAAAACAAATGAATCCTGCGAGACCAATTGCATGGGCAGCGCCACACAGCACAAGAAGCTCTCTTCACTCACACACTCACACACACACACGCACACAGCCACAAGCACTGTTCTTGTGTGTTTGGGCTAGCCCCACACTCTAAAGCAGGGGCGACGGTTTTGTAGTTAGTTATGATAATAATAATAATGCGGGGCAGGGGTAGAGCCCCCCAAAAATGTGCCTGTCAGTCGGCAACTCCTTAGACAGCGTTGCCAGGTGGTTGCAAATATAATGCAAAAGCACACAACAAATACATATTTATTTAAATGTGCAAGTGTGTGAATGCAAATCAAAACAACAACAAAACTGCAAACGGCTCTTGCAGTCAAGTGCCTTAGTGAGGAGTGGGGTATGGGGGAGGGGGTGTGCTGATGCTCTCGTAGCCATGTTGGCAAGTCTGGCTTCAAGGATGCCAATTGGCGCAGGTTGGCAGCACACTGTGTGTGTGTGTTTATATGTATATATATATATATATATATAACGGCTCTTCGCTATACAAATTTCAAGCAACGATAGCCCAAAAAAATAAATAAAGGGGGGACAAACAAAAACAAACGACAAAGCGAGCAAGCTAAAGAGACTGAACGAACGACCTCTTCTGCTTGACGCCCCCACCCGACCCAAACCCATTTGTATCTTATACCATCTCGCTTGCGCACACGACACGCGACGCGACGCTACGCGACTCCTTCGCATTCGCCCCTGTTCTTCGGGCATTTGCACGATACAAGTGCGAGCGATTGATTATGATTATTAGTAAGTAGCAAGCAATGGCAATAGCAACGGCAACGGCTTGACTTGACTTGCGGCGAAATGGGGTAAAAGAGACAGAGGCGGCAAAACGAATTTAAATGAGCGCACACTGAGACACCCAACTGGTTAACGTGTGTTTGTTTATTTGTTTGCCTCTGTATGTGTGTGTGTGAGAGAGTTTTTGAGAGAGTGGGTTACACTGGCCGTGTAAGTGGCAACGCTCGTACATGTGAAATCTATAGGCATAAATTTATTGTTTTGTATTTCGTTTTAACTTTGCGGCGGCTCGACTGACTACTTGCCGCCGCCGCTGTTGGTTGTTACTTTTATTGCTGCTTCTGCTTGTTCTTCGGTTTCTTTTAGTTTAGCTTTTTTCCTGCACGCATTCTTTGCATTCACATTTATTTCGTTTGCCTTCATTTTAATTAAGTTTTTGCATATTTTATACAATAAATTGTCATTGTCATTGTAGTTTTTGTAGTTTTAGTTTTACCTCCAAATAAATGCCATTGTTTAAAGTGGGCGCTGATGTTGTTGTTGTTGCTGTTGCTGTAACGGCTGCTGTTGATTTATTTAGATGCTCGCAAAAGGCGGAGAAGCTGCTAAAATCCATAGGTTTAATAACCTCCATTTTGTATTAGACAATTTTAGGCACATATGTATGTATATAGACACAGACACACACAAACACACACATTCAATTTCGATATGCAATTGAATTTACAATTACAATTATAATACATATATGCTATATCACAAATATTGAAATGGTTTTCGATTTCGACATTATTGATTTTAATTAAGCACTAATTATCATTCATTGCGGCGACACATTTGCTATTTGCACGTTGCTTGTTGTTGTTGTTGTTGTTGCGACGTCTGCACTCGCCACTCTTCACTCGCACTCGTCTCGCCTCGTCTCGTTCTGTCGTCTACTTTTGCTTCAGCAATTACATTTTTCCATTCGTTTGATTATTATTATTTCTTCTACACACACACAAACACATGCATTGAGCGGGTGCGAGAGGGAGAGACACATGTAAAGACGACGGGTCGCGCCGATACGTAAAGCCCCGACACAACGACAACGTTGTTTTGGATATGGATGCGTTTGCTGCTCAAGCACTTGGACTTTTTACAACTTTACACCGCGGCGCTCAAACAAATAATGAGCGAGCGCATTGCGGACTAAATACAAGAAACACTCCTCACACACACACACACACATGCATGCATACATATACAGAGACCACAACGGGGACGCATACGCGCACGGAAGCAGCGACGGCGGCAGCGGCACTAGCAGCTAAAATCGAATGCGAATCAGCCAGCAACAGCGACGGTAACGGCGACGTAGAGAACGGGGGAGAGGGTCGCTAGTCAAACCAACAACCAACAACGCCAAGCAACTACTATTGAGCGAGGGAGCAGAGCAGAGCTGAGCTGAGCTGAGCAGAGCAGAGCTGAACCAGAGCCAGAGCCAGAGCAGAAAAACCAAACCAAACGAAACCAAACAATCGTGAGATTAAGCCAAACGCCGTTTTGGGTGAATGTGAATATGAATGAGATGGGCAGGCAGAAAGGCAGTCACAGCCTGTCGTCCGTCCTCTGAGGTGAATGAGCGCGGCAAGGCGAAGGCGAAGCCAAAAGCAAAGGCAAAGCGTCACTTGCAGTACCAAGAGAGCCAGACAGAGCGAGAGAGAGAGAGAGAGAGACAGTGAGCGCATTGGACGCGAGAGCGCCGCTAGCGAGAGCGTATGTATTTATTCTGTGTCTGTGTGCACTAGATGGACGAGTTGAAGAAGAATGAGGAGGCAGCGCACATTGTGTCAACTGTGTAATGTAAGCAAAAGGCAATGGCAAAGCCAGAGCCTGTCACACACATACGCATACTTGCTCATATATGTGGCGCAAAGATGGGAAAGGGGGGCATACACGGCATGACATACACGGCAAAAAAGCCAAGCAATGAAACAAATGTACCACAAAAACTGTTGACGACAAGGCAGAATAAAGAGGAGTCAGCAAACGCAGCGACTGCGACGGCTGCGGCTGATGTTGGCGCAATCAAGCAAAGGACACACAGCATAAAGGGGATAAAATAAAATAATAGCCAGAGAAATGGATTAAAATTTCAGGTACAAAATGTGCGCGCACACACACATACACGTGACAGGAAATACATCTAGAAAATTGTCCATAAGCAAACGCAATTCGTGACCCTTGTTATAGTTTAATTAATACGACCTTTGGCATGGGCAACTAATCTACATACTACAGTACACATACATTTATGTTCGTACACCCATATGTAGCCTACATACATGTGTATTCAGAAAGAACACAAGTAATGCGAAAGATAGAAACTGCACCAAAGTGCGATAAGCACGTAGCCATTGCCAAAGCAACGAGCGAGAGCGCGCTGTCGTGTGTAAAAACGAGATTATTAATCAATCTGTAAGATACAGATACACATCCAACAATCCCACCACCAGCAGCAGTCGCAGCACAAAGCAGGCTGCCAATCGACGGCGACAGCGACACATCTTCAGCAAATGCATATGACTAAACACACACACACACTCGCGTACACACACACACATGTAAAAACATGATCGGCCGGTGAGAGAGAAACTGCAAGTGCACGTGAGAGATTGTATGTATGTGTGAGTGTGAGTATAAGCGTGTGACGATTTTTCTATGCATGTGTGGTCGTAAATTTGACTAAAGCGTAACGCAAAACTAAATCAAAAGGCAGGTAGACAACAGCGGCTCATTTCGGACACGTATCCCAATACTCACACATCCATGTATGTGTGTGTGTGCATGTGTGCAACTTTTAATGAACTGACCATTGCACACTGGGCAGGTTTTCTTGAAAAAAATTCGAATTATTTATGGCCGACAGGTGTGAAACGAATGCGCCGATGCGGCAGCAGCTGCAACAGCAACACGTGAGACGCACGCGCAAAGTAGTCAAACAACTAATTGAAAATATGTGTATGCAGGAATAATAGCAATTGCACCACTGTGCAAAAAATGCTAATAAAATAATAAATCGAATAGCGGTCAGCAAGGTGAGCATCCAAGCAAATCGCACACCAGAAAGATGCCACAAAAAGAATGGAAAACATCTTCACACACACGCACACATGAGTGTATGTACATACATATGTATGTACACATAATCACACACATGCAAGCCAACTCTATGCTTGTGTTCTAAATACACGTTGCAAATCGAAAAAAGGAAACAGCAACAACAATATCTTAAGCTGCTGCTGCAAGTGGCGAAAAGAGAACACGTAAAGGCAGCGAACGAACAGTGGAGCAAAAGGAGCAGACTGCAACAACAACAACGATGAGCCCAAATGAGCACAATTAGGCTTTGGCTTTATTGACGCGCCGCGGGCTGTAAGAAACAGTCAGCGAGCAGGAGCAGGAGCGGAACAGGTCACCACATCCAAGTCACATATTCGCCATCGTCTCGCTCAATAATTCGCCCCGTGAGAGCAGCGACACGGATACGGATATGCGGACTGAGAGCAACGCGACGTCAACAGCATTTGGGTGGGCAATGAAAGCAAAAAATTAAACATTGGATAAATCCAGAAAATGTAAAATTACACACACACACACATACAGACACAGGCGTCGTCATGAAAAACTAATACAAACAACGACGCACAAGTACAGCCAACGTAGCAGCAGCAGCAGCAGCAACAGCAGCAACAACAACCACCCGATACCGATACCGATTCCAATACCCAACAGTCAGAGACCATCGTCGCCCGCCAACGCCGCTGCCGACGCGGCAACAATCATCGTCACCAAAGAAGAACTTCGTCAATACAACAACAACAAAGCGGCTTTGGCTTTGCCTGTGACCGTTTTGCTTGCTCTTCTTGCTGTTGTTGCTGCTGCTGCTGCTGGCGTCGACGCTGCCTTCATTATTACTGCTGTTGCTGCTGCTGTTTTTGTTGTTGTTGCTGCTTTGATTGATGGCGCTGGCGTTCGCTTGCCTTTTGATAATGGCGTCGACGTCGCTGTCGTCGTCGTGGTCGTTGTTGTTTTTGCTACAGTAAAATGCGCGTCAGGTTGTACAATTGACTCCCATCTCCAAGTCGCATCTCATAATTTGACCCAAGAGCAGTTGGGCAACATGTCTGTGGCTTCACTGTTTGCCTACTATCGAAGGTGGTAACGGGCCCAAACCGACCAACATTTTGGGCGGCTGGTTTGACATTTTCTCGTTTGCTCGTTTGGCTGCTCATTCGCGCCCGAGCATCTCGTGTGCACCACATTTCGGGCCTGGCTTCAATGCGGCTCGTCGCCCGCTCTCTGTGTGTGCTTTTTTCTTCTTCTTCTTTTATTTTGCATAAATTAAGCATAAGTGTATTTTGCATTCGCATTTGTATTTGTATTTTCGCCGCTGCTGCTGCTGATGCTCTCGCGGCTTGTCTTGCGTCTCGTTTTGTCAGCGTTGTCGTCGTTGCTTTTGTTTGAACATTCGGAAGTACACACACACACACATGCACAGCGAGACAGTTATACACTCGTATGTAGTTGACAGAAATCAGCGACGGCCACCACCTCGCACGGTGGGTGTAACTTATTTTATTTTATTTCGCCTCTTTTTTGCTGCTGCTGCTTGCCAGATTTCCTCTTTTGACTTTTCACACACTTCATTTATTCTCACTCCACATTGAAATTCGCATTTGAATGCACGCGAGCGAAGGGGTTTATCGATAAACACAGATACCAATCGAATAGCGAGAAGACAACGGTATAAATCAGCAACAACTAAAAAATTCTCAATTTTAACCTCAAAACTATTGGTTTAACTTTCGACTCAAAAATCACTCAAAATGAGAAAATGCAAGCGGTAAATTTCTAAAAACCGGTTTACTTATAAAAAAAAAAATAACTGTGTACCTACATAGCCTAAGTATAGTAAATAAAGTCGACAATAATTTCAGGGCAAAATTTTTCTCATTAAGCTACAGAAAGCGCGAATCTTCGGGGTTTTAATGGGGTTAAGAGTGTAATGTATTACTATAACTGCAATAAATCGTTCCAAAATTCGAAATGTATTCAATTCTCTATTCCTAATTATGATTTACATACACAGAAATATGTAAAAATTGGGCAAGGTATCAATTTTAGGTCTTTTTGGCATTTCCTTTTTCTTTCAAGCGGACATTTTCCTAACTGGAACCGTGCTTTTACTGTATTTGAGTAATATTTGTTTATGTTTTTCTCTTTAAAAAACACTTTTAATTACAGTGTATTTAGAAACCCCACGAAATTTGTATATTCAAAAATGTTTCATTTTAAAAAAGGGAATATTAGATTAGATTAAAACGTTTGTATACTAAAATATATATGTATGTATATAGTTAACACACCCTGAATTTTTAGTAAACAAATAAAATAAATACATAAGTTTAGGTACACACAGAAATACTCTATAATTATATATGAAAAGTGTAAGCAAAGGGCATGCTGGTTAGCTTGCTAATAGTACTCTAAAAAGGGTTAGTTCGATCAATGCAACATTAAGTGATAGATGTGTATGTGTGTGAGTGTGGTAAGTAATTGTCAGTGTATGGTGAGTTGTGGGGGGGAGGGCGTTTGATTGAGTTTGAGTGGCGGGTGGGTTGGTCATGGTCTATTAAAGCCCAAGTAGACCCGACTGAGAGTAAGGGTGTGTTAAGTTCTGCCTGATGTTGCCGATTTGCGGGTTATATTGTGGGCACAAGTGCTGCTGACGGGGGTAAGTTTTGGATATATGGGGAGTGATTATTTGTTTTGGTTCGGTAGCATTCGTGTTGTAATATTATATTTATATATATAAAGAGAGAGAGAGAGGCGTTTCACGTACATTGTTCATACTAACCAAATACATGGCCAGTTTGTTGATATCCAAGTTGGCCAATTGGCTGACATCGGTCGTGTTGAGGATGCTCAGCATAAGGCTGATATCGGCGGCGGTGGGCATGGCTGGCACCTGAGCTCCGCCGGCAACGCCGACCTGCTGCTGTTGTTGCTGTTGTTGTTGTTGCTGCTGCTGCTGCTGTTGTTGCTGATGCTGCCCCACCATTCCGTGCTGTAGTGTCGACCCGCTGCCGGCGGCGGCGGCGGCGGCAGCTGCTGCTGCGGCAGCCGAGGTGCTGGCACCCTGTGACTGCATCAGGGCCTGCAGGCTGCGATTGCTCGAGTCGAGTTGTTGCTGCAGTTGGCTAACAGTGCCGCCGGCGCCAACGACACTGCCGGCGCCCGCATTGCCAACGGAACCACCACCGCCGGCGCTCTGCATCTGCATTTGCATCGACTGCAGAGTCGGTGTGGTGGGCACCGAGAGCGGCGGCGTCGACGAGACCAGCGCCTGTAGCTGTTGGGGCAGAGGAGGAGGATTTGTTGGGTGTTGGTAAGAAGTCGGTTACAAAGAAAAGCGAACATTTAACATCATGAGAGAGTGTGAGGGTGTGGTGTATATGCGTGTGTGTGTCTGAGCAGTGGCTACTCCAGCCAAATGACTTAGGAGAGAGTGAGAGAGAGCGAGACAGCAAATATAGGGGCATTGTTCGCTGGTTGCGGGGGGAGGGGGGGGGGGGGGTGCGCAGGTAGTTTTGTTAATCAGCTGTTGGCTGGTCGCCAGATTCGTCAGTCAGTCCACGTTCAAGTTCCGGTTTCATATCTACTTTAACTACATTTACAGTTGGTTTTCGCAAATCTAAGCCAAGTAGTTATCTACGGCCAACAGCTAAGCAACAAAACTACATACTTGAATATCTCTTTGTCCGTCTTACAGGACACTACGAATTTTGATTGGTTTTTTTGTTTTTTTTTTTGTGTGTTATTTTCAAAATACAAAACGATAATCACAATTTGTTTAGCTAATACAATCGGGCATAGCAAGAATGATGGAAACGCAAAAAAAAAAATATTTTATAAAATTAATCGATACACTTTCGATCCATTATTGGGCACAATTAATCGATAGACTTTCGATCCATTAATAAACACTATTAATCGATAGACTTTTGATCCATTAATAGACACGCGCTTTTTTGGACTTGTTAACAATCGATATATTATATTGATGGATTTATCGATACTCTAAGAATTCGATAGTTCGATTAAATGAAATACAAATCGATATATCAGTTTTACGATAATTAAATCGAACATAGGAAGACTAAAGTATTTAATCTATAAATCGATATTATTCTTGATATATAATCGATATTTTAGTCAGCAGATCAATATATTAATCGCAATTTATCTTTTTAGCCATAATATCAATATCTGTCGACAGCCATAACTTTTGATCCAGATACTTTTATACTTTTGCAAATCAGTCACAATCATATCGATCATTAATCGATTTTATCGATAAACTTTTCTTGTTCGATTTATTCATTCCATCATTCTTGCTGGAGCATTTTTTGTGTTTTTTTTAGATGGATATTTGTTGGATATTTGGGAGTGCTAGGAACTGGTACATTAAAAACATTTTCAATAGATCAACTCGATATATAATCGATATATTGTTTTAGCTATAATACTGGATAAAACACAGTAAGGGGCGGAAGTTCTTTTTTTTTTCGTGTGAAACAGACGCAACAAGTGACTGGATGTACATATAATGTGGAGCTTGTGATTGGATGGTTGTATGTTTGTGGCTTTTGAAGTTGGGTTTGTTGAGGACGACTCGCACTTACCTTGGCCTTTTGCTGTTGCTTGAGCTCCTCCTTTTTGTAGTTGCGCTGATAGGCGGTGATGACGCGACGTAATCGTGTATTGAGATCCTGCATTGATGGCCACATTGTGGCATCCTCGACGGCGGCCAATGTCGATGGCGGATAGCTGCCGGCGACGCTCTCCTCCTCGTCTAAGCCTAAATTTGAGTTGGAGTTAGCATTTTCGCAGTTCTGACCCGCTGACTCCCCGCTCCCAGGGGCCGCTGCAGTCGTTGTTGCAGTTGTTGTTGTTGTTGTGGTGGATGATGGATTGGTAATGGTGGTTATAGTAGTAGTAGTGGTGGTGGTGGTATTGGTGATATTTGTGGTGGTGGTGGTTTTGGTGGTGGTGGTAGCGTTAGTGCATGAATCTGAACCGGACTCGGCCGTAGCAATGGCAGCGGCATCATCGGCTTCGCCATCGGCTGGCGCAGCGGCCTTGCCATTGGCCTGGGCCTGAGCCTGGGCCTGGTCTTGACTCTTGGCCGCATCCATTTCAGTGTCCAATGCGTCTGGCGACCCGGACCCGGACGAGACAGTGGCTGCCACAATGTCGCCATCGCCGCCGCCGGCCGCCGCCGCCGTTGAGCTGGAGTCGGCATCAACAGCGACGGCGTCGGCAGCTTCGGCGACGTCTGCATCAGCCTCTGTCTCGCCGGCGGGCTGCTCGCTTTTGGCTTTCGCCTTTTCATTGTTTTTATCTATTTCGTTTACGTTTTCGTTTTCATTTGCATTTTCAATTTCGATTTCGCATTCTTTTTGTGCCGATTCGTTTGATGGTGCTGCTGACGCCGCTGCCGTGGCGTCCGCCGCGACGGCGCTGCCATTGCCCACAGCCGGGATGAGTTCCGCGTTGGCGGCTTTGATTTTGGTTCCGCTGTTATCGCACTTATCGCTCTTACCCGACGAACTGGGGCGCTCCGGATCGAGCGAGTCCTTGTTATCGCCGGCCGTTAGCTTTGTCGAATCCGAATCTTTGGTGGTGGTGGTGCCATCGTCGTCCACCTCGTCGCCGTCATCGTGCTTTGAATTTGCGTCGTCCTCATTTCTGTGAATGCAAACAGGATCATTTAGTGATCTACATTGAAATCGATAATTATCGATTTTTATCGATTCTAACATGTGACAACATGCCGAACACACACACACACACGCACACACAATTTAAATTCGAATAAAATGTTTGGCTAGCAAGTATTCAGTGTGACCGTTTACTGTATGCCAATTGAATGGATTGTGGGGTAAACTTGTGCATACCCTGTAATGTGTTTACATTGGCTAAATTAGCTGTTCTACGCTTGCAATTTGCAAACTTAAGTTGGATATTTTAAAGTCGAGATAGTAAGGGATGTATAAATAATTTATTTTTAAATAATTTATTCCTAGCTGTATTTAAAAGGTTATCCGGAAGGTTTTAGTACTGGGTAGCTCAAAGTCGAGCCATTTAATGCTATACTTTTAAAGAATTTTCGAATTTGTTAAAGTATTTTTTTTAGATATATATACTATATTTTACATCTTCCAAAATTAAATAGCATTGGCAAATCTATTCAAGATTTTATATAGTAATCAATTTTTCAAACAGAAGCTTTTAATCTAGAAATAAATAAGATTTGGGTTTCGTTTCCAATTTCTAGCTCTTTTTACTATATATTAGAGACATTATAGGATCCATATACCCTTTATCATATCAACATTTAATGTTAAATTAAATAATCAATAAGCTCAAAAGCTTTTCAGAATTTAAAATTGTTTACTTCTGGAAGCAACGCTTTCTAATTTGTTACAAATGTTTGTTGCTCAATTTCACGGATAATTTCGTAAACCTTTTCAAAATACGGTCACACCAAATAGCTTCATGTATTACTCTTAAGCTAAATGCGATTTTAATGGGCTAGTTAAGGTATAATTTCTATTAGTTATATATACACAAAATAATTTCAATTCCTGTTTTAGCTGTGCATATTATTTGTCTATTATTTCTACCAGATGTGTCCTGGTTTGATTTCCATATATGGCTAGAGTCTGGTCTGGATATTTTGTGTGGTATTAGTACTTGTGGCTTATGTGGTATTACGATATGGCAAAATGGTACCCGATTTAGGCATAGCTTAAATGGAGGAGGGGGAGAGGGAGGGAAAGGTGTGTGTGTGTGTGTGTGTGGGTGGGTAGGTGGAAGAGGGTTGTTGTTTTTTCATTGATATACTCTACTTACATTGGCAAATTCGTGACGGCCAAATCGTCACCGGCACCGGCGCCCACATGGGTGACAAAGCACAGATTCGGATCGGCGCGCATCTGACGATACATTTCACAGCCGTGTTTATAGGTTCCGACCAAAAGGCTCTTATCACAACAAATGGGATTCCACCATGAGGATGGCACTTGATCTGGCGTTGGCGGCGGGCGTATGGGTAGCTCGCTACATGGTTCGATAGATATACACACACATACGACATATACACATATATATATATACATATATAAATATATATATACATATATATATAGATATATATAGAGAGAGAGAGATATATAGATGAGGGGAATAAGAATTGAATGCGTTGTTTAGTAAAAATTTTAGGTACAAATTTGTGTTTTTGTTTTTACAAATTTTATGCATTGTTTTTTTTTGTAGTAAATAATCAAATGAAAAATAAAGAAAAAAAACTATAAAGCATAATACAATGAAAGTAAAACAAATTATAAAACTTGTGTTTTGTGGTTGGTTTTTGGTTAATTGCCAATTTGTGCTACGGATTAAACAGATTACAAATCAATCACATTTTACGGGCTTTCGAGTACAAACTACAAAATGCAACTCAAGAGATGTTTATTTTTTTTTTGTTTTTTTTTTGGAAAAATTTGTTAATGCAGCTTTTTAGATTTCGAATTTGGAATATTTGGAAAATTATATAGATGTATATTTTTGTGCATATAATTTGTATAGAGCATTTCGTTGATCGATCGATGTGACGATATATGTATGTATATGAGCATTTAGTTTTTCTGATATCCCTATATTCGCCTGATTCGCTTCAAATGGACGGATATGGTGGGCGGGATGCGTGCGTGCGAGCGAGCGAGCGAACGAGCGAGCGAACGATCGGGCGAGAGCGAGATGTGTGCATAGATATTACCTTTCCAGATTGTGTGCTAGTTGCTTTGCTTTCGTACTGCGGCAGTAGTTGTTGTTGTTGTTGTTGTTGTTGTTGTAGTCGTAGTTGTTGTTGTTGTAGGTTGTTCCAAAAGTTGTCAGTGAATGTGTATATATTTATACATACACATTATATACATACATACATAATATACATATTCGTATTCAAATTAGCAATTAGAATATTCGTCAAAAGATTTGTTATGTGCAAAACAAAACACAGCGAGAGAAAATTGAGCTTACGATGCGGACCATTTAGTAAATAGTTTTTTTTTTTTTTTGGGGTAAAAAGGTAACGAGTTGAAAATAGTTGGGGGGAATGTACAAAATGTATTAAAAGTTGCATAGAACAAACGTTTGCAAATGATGGAACGTCCAAACAGGGAGCGAATGTTTAGTAACGAGAGGAAATTAGTAACGAAAGTTTAGTAACGAGCGAGAGATATAGTGAGAGAGAGCATTAAGATAGCGAGAGCGGGCGCTCACACAAAAGCGAGTAAGTGTACCCAAAAGTAATACAACTGCAGTTAAAAGTTAAAAGAACCAGAGCAGAAATATTACTTAAGAGCTTAAACGATTCAACTGTACTTTAGTTAAAAGAGTTAAGAAACTAGTATAGTTCAACAAATTGGCATTTTTTTTTAGTAGCTAATAAAAATAATTAAAGACAACTATTAAAACATGGCACAACGAAATAAATAACTTTAAATGTAAATAATAAAACATAAACAAAAATATGAATATACTATATATAAATGAGAGAGAGAGATAAAGAAAACGAATGCTTTGGCGCTCTTTTTTTTTTTAGAGTGCAACAACAATCAGTCAATCAATCAACGACAACAATCATGATGTGATGATGTTAATGATGTACTCATTGGTACAGTAAACCGCCTACCTGATGGGCGTATTATCCTTTATCTGCTGCACTAAATCGCCAATGACCTCGTGCTGTATATAGTAGAGCATCCGCACGCGCAGCAATACCCTGTGAAAGCACACAAATCAATTTGTGTAAATAACCAATAAAGAAGCGTGCATAAAAAAAAACAAGGCAAATCAAAGAAAAAAAAAACGGGAAGAAAGAGAATAGGTTTGGGTTTTGTTAGCAAAAGACGGTCTGGCATTTTGATTGGGGGGCTTGTTAGTTTAAACAAATTCGATTCCACACGACTCACTTATTCGCGTGTCTGCCCAGATGCTTCTTGTAGGCGCCCTCCAGATACGCATCCGCATCATACTTCTCCTTCTTGCTCCAATGATTCGGATCGTGTATGCTGGTCGGCGGTGCGGGCGCAACAGCCGCTGCCACGGCGCTGGCACTGATCCCCGAGCCCAGATCCTTATCGCTGACTCCACCAGCCTCCAGGGCGCTGGACTTGTGGGCGGGCGTTGTGTTGCCACTGTTGCTGCCGGATGCGGTGCCCGGCGCTGGCGTCGAGCTGCCGCCGCCGCCCATCTCCTTGTTCGACTTGCCGCCATTGCGTCCTGTAAACGTGTTAAAACCGAAATTTAGTTCCGAATCCTTTTGCATGCCGTTGACTCTGAACGAGCTCAACTCTGTGTTTGATAATGGATGCATGACAGCTACTCGATTTATGTACAGCGCGTGTTACGATACAGTGTGATATGATAATGTGATGAAAAAAATGAACTATATAAAAGTTGACATGAAAAAGTTGCGCTCCACTTGCAAATCGATCTTGAAGTTGGTCTGTTAAAGTTTCAAAAAATAAATAAATAAAAGAAATCCTTACGACTGATATTCTGAATCACGTCTCAAATAAATCTTAAAATATTTCTCTTAAAAGGAATTTCAAATACTGGCTTAAAGAAGTTTTTAATTTTTTTTTTTGAAATTAGTTCTATTGATCTAAGAATGAAGATCTTTCTCCTTTCTGGGCTTTCGAACATAAGCTTTAATTTTCCTCAAATTGATTAAACATATCTCAAGTAAATTCTTACATAGAACTTTAAAAGCGATGATAAAAGGGATAATATGACAATTCCCCTTCAATTTGATCCGACATGAACCAATCATTTATATTGACGACAATAGAAAGAACCAGTTGCGAATTTTAACAGTTGCAGAACAGACAAACAGACCCGATTAGATCGATCCCTCTAATCTAAGCTTACTTTATCTAAAATGTAATCAATTTCTTGTGGATTTACCTTCTTTATATCTATAATAAACACAATAAGCTAAACGTTGACTGAAATCTGTTAGCTCTATTTAAAAATCCCCTATAATTGCAAAATAAATGAACAATAAATTTGCAAGTAGAGACGCGAAGATTAGTAATGGAAAAATATGGCACAGCAATAAAGATGGTTTTGACTAATGTGGCATGTTGTAAACGTTAGTTGAGATGTATACAAAAAAAAAAAAGAAGTTATATATAGATATATGTATTTATATAGATATTATAAATCATAAAAGGTTATAGTAAAAGGCATACAATTGCATGGCAACAAAACATACACACACTTTTCTTCAACATTTTACCAGTTATTGGCGTACGTCATGTCTCGTTCGCGTCGAGTCAGTTGCTAATTTCTATATATATATATATATGTTCAGCCGATATTGGAGGACAGACGGTCAGGCTGGTTGGGTTGGTTTTGGTTAAGTAACAGAGAAGTGAATTGGGTTTTGAGAGGGCGTCAGTTAGGCATTGTATCACACAGAACCCAGTTAGGAATAGATCAGATCTACATATATATAAACATATATATATATATAGTACATATAGTGGAGTAGACTAAACAGCTGCCAGAGCGCGGAGCGACTCACAAGTGGAACAATTGATTAGAAGTTCAAAAATAGTTGGGTATTTAGAGTATTTATAGTTGTTAGGTGGGTATATAAGGTGGTCCAGCCCAGAGATATAGTGTGTAGTAATTTGTGTTTTTTTTTTTTGTACAATACGAGTAATTTCTAGTTTGAGGCAGCTCGTTTTTTTGTTTTATTTAGATAACTCTCTACGTCCGTGCAGCAGTTGGAGTGCGTGAATGTATCTTTTACCATACCTTTGGCATTCCTACCTCGTGGCACCAAGTTGTGTAGGCCACTATGATCCCTGCTGATCTTCTGGACCTCGCCGTCTTCGGTGGGTGTGATTAGATCCCAAATGAATGTCTTGATCTTCTCGTCGCCCTTGTAGACCTGCAGGCAGTATAGCAGCTGTAAGAGTTGAATTAAAAAGATACTCGTTAGTTTTATGGCGACGAGTAACGTGTAGCGAGTAGCGAGTAACTAGTTTGTGTTCAGCGGGTTGAGAAGTTGTGTTTTTACTCAGCGAAAACCTAAAGTTCTCTCAATATTAGCATGGTTGGTCATCATTTTGAGTATTGGGTATTTGATATAGAATATACATATATAGTTGATACTTACAATGATGCGTGCACAGTCCTCGACGTCCACATCGCGCCAGCCGCGCTTGAACTGACCCAATTCGAGGAGTTCCGTCCAGCGTCCCCAGCTGTAATATAATATACATTTTAGGAAAAGATATTTGAAGACTTTGTCTATAACATAGTTGGCATATCATGAATATTCTTTGTAGTAACAAGTCTCTGTACACTATATACAGTATATAAGCATACGATTAACCCGTTTCACAATTCATTTCGGCCATAAAAATTATTTTAAAGAGAACTAAGCGCTACCTCGGCTGTTTTTAGCAAGCATTCGAGATTCTTTTGCATATTATATTATTTTGGGAGTTTGCATAATTTAACAAAAACATAAGCATCGAAAATGATGAGCTATTCAGAGAAAAGTCTCGGCACAACCGAATCGAGATTCAATGTCCGGAGATCCCAGCTGCAGGTGGCTGACGATGACGAGCCGCCCGAAATTGACATCATAGGAATTGCGTACAAGTTCTATCTGGACGATTATTTAAACTTGTCGGAGGAGGAGCGCAAGCAACGATTGTCCGATTTGGATGCCTTGGAAATGCTGCGCACCATCGAAGAGGTGCAAAAGGAGCTGGCCATATACAAGCTGGAGAACTACATAATGGTTGATTTTCTGGAGAAGAACGATCCAAAGCTGTTGGTCGGTCTGCGACAGCGACGCACCTCAATACTGAAACGATTGCAGACAAAGCGAATAGCAACGGACGGATTACAACAATCCAGTCGACATTCTAGCTCCAAGCGATCCATATCCATGTCTGTATATATGGCCGGCATGAGCACGGCGGGCACCGAGCGACGCAAGCAGGTTGACCACAAGCTCAACTACAAGGCCAAGGCTGAACTGGCCGAAAAAGCGGCGACCGAGGTGGAAAAGCGCGTTATAGACATTGAAAAAAATGGTACGTCTGGCATTTCCAATTACCAACTGGTATCTTTTTGTACTAATTAAGTTCTCTCGATAATCTCTGGCTATTGCAGCCATGGTTGAGGTCAAGCAGCTGCGTGCTAAAATCGAGGAGCTGTATTATCGCAGCGAGGAGACCATCGAAACGGAAAAGAACTTCATGCTGCACTTTCTGCGCGATGAGAACGATGCGGCATTTCTGGAAAGCGCCACCGAGCGTCAGATTGAGCGCAAGTTGCGCAAATTTACGGCCAATTGGTTTAAAAACGCGCGCGCCCTGCTGGGCACCATGCGACTGACGATTGTCTCGCTGCAGGAGACGTGCCAGCAGCATCGTGCGGATCTGATAACCAAGGCGGATCTCAGTGGCATTTTGACAGCAGTCGATTTTGAGAAGTTGATCATCAAGCGAACGGAGCTGACCAACGAGCTGGAGGAGAAGAACATACACATGTCGGGCCTTAAGGGCGTGACGGGCAAAACGTCGCTGGCCATGACCGAGGAGAAGCAGGCCATGATGAATCTGGAGACCGAAATGCGTAATGTGCTCAATCGGACCGAAGAAATCACACGCACCATAGCCAAACTGGAAAAGGAGGTGGCCACGGTGCAGGCGAACAATGAGAAGGACCACATCATATTGGGCGAGCTGCGCGCCCAGCTGGAGGAGTACGAGGCGCCCAGCGTAACAGAGTATATTGAAAAGAAGGAGGAGGCCCTCTATCTGGAGAAGGAGGAGAAAATGCTGCAGCGCAAGATCTACATATTAAACATGAAACTGAACAATGTGTTGCGACGTTGCAGATATCGCGAAGACTAATTAAATAGAATAAAATGCCTGCGCAGCCAACAAGACTTACCCAAAAGACAGCAGACCCTTCTCCACTTTGAAGCACTCCGACTTGGCCCAGTTGCCATACTGGATCTCTTCCAGGCCCAGGGCGGCCAATGCGTCGCGTTCTCGCGGTATATACTCATCGTTGCCCTTCTTCTCGCGGGCGCGATCGCGTTTCTCCTTGCGACGACGTGAGCGCAGACCTGGCCAAAAGATTTAGATTTAGTTAGAATTAGCCTTGGAATATGTGTGCATTAGTTTGGCCTACCTATGCCGCCCTCCTCGTCGCTGTTCTCATTGGAGGAGTCCTCGGAGTTGATCTCCATGACATCCTCGTGTCCGTAGCGTTTGATTTGTGTACGCCTGCGCGGCTCGGAGAGCACCAGATCCTCGGTCTCGTCACGTTCACAGGCATCGGGATCAATGTCCACACGCTTGGCCCATTTGGTCCAAAAGTCGGGATCATCGATGGTAATGTCCGACCGATTGCCCGAGGCCGCAAACGAGGCCTTCGAGAAGGTGGAACCCTTCTCGGATTCCATGGTTATGACCTGTGTGCGTCGTTTTAGGATCGAATCAATATCCTCCTCGCAGAACTTATCGCCGGCATTATCATCGTCCATGACGGCGCCATAGGCGCCCTTTTTGAGTAGATCTTCGATTTCCTTCTTGGACAATTGCTTGTTGTTGCCATCCTTGGAGCCGTGCGTATTCATCGACTGCAGCACAGCCTTGTCCAGGCCCAGTTTCATTGAGGCCTTGTCGAACATCTCGCGCTCGTAGGTGTTCCTGCACAGCAGGCGATAGATCTTGACCATTTTGCGCTGGCCAATGCGATGGCAACGCGCCTGAGCCTGCAGATCGTTCTGCGGATTCCAGTCGGAGTCATAGATGATGACAGTATCGGCGGCCGTTAGATTAATACCCAAACCGCCCGCCTTGGTGCAGAGCAGAAACACAAATCGATCCGATCCGGGCTTGGAATAACGATCGATGGCCTCCTGACGCAAATTACCACGGATACGTCCGTCAATACGCTCGAAGGGATACTTGCGATAGACCAAATAGTCCTCGAGTATGTCCAGACAGCGCACCATCTGACTGAAGATCAAGACGCGATGTCCATTGGCCTTCAGCTTGGGCAGCAGCTTGTCAATGAGCACCATTTTACCGGCGGAGAGTATAAGATTCTTGTAATAGGATTCGGGATCTTCGCCGTGTTGTGCCTTAAAATCATACTGGATCTGCTCCTCGGCACCGTTCAGCAGATACGGATGGATGCAGCACTTGCGTAGCTCCATCATTGTATTCATCAGATTGGGTATATTGGCGGAGGTGGTGCCCTTTTTGAGAAAACTAAAGTTCTGCTCCAATATGCCGCGATAGTATTTCTTTTGTATATTGGTCAGCTCCACCTCAATAATGGTCTCCTCTTTGGGCGCCAGAGATTTCTCCACATCGTCCTTGAGACGTCGCAACATCATGGGCTTGAGCAGCACCTGCAATTTGTTGACCTCCTCCTCGGTGCGCAGACTGCCAAATTCCGACATGAACTCCTCCTGTGACGAGAACTGACTGGGCTCCAGGAAATTGAGCAGCGAGAACAGTTCGCTTATGTTATTCTGCAACGGTGTGCCAGAGAGCAGGACACGATGCTCCAGGCTCAGCTGGCGCAGACCTTCGAGCAGCTTGCAATTGCGATTCTTGAGGCGATGCGCCTCATCGATCACACACAGCCGCCAATTGAAGGCCTTCAGGTCCATATAGTCGGTGACGATCATCTCAAAGGTGGTGATTAGCACATTGAATTTGATGGGCTCCTTGAGCACCTTGCCGCTGTCCGTCTTGTAGTAGAACTCATAGTCCTGTATCATCTGTTTGCTCGTAACCGAACCGTGATAGACAACCACATTCATGTCGGTCCAGCCCTCGAATTCACGCTGCCAATTCGGTATGGTCGAGAGGGGCGCTATGACCAGAAATGGACCACGTATTCCATACTCATAGACCGAATGGACAAAGGTCAGACTCTGGATGGTCTTGCCCAGACCCATCTCGTCGGCCAGTATGCAATTGTGTGAATTATACCAGGAGAACTTTAACCAATTCAAACCCTCCAGCTGGTAGGGTCTCAGGCTGTTGCCGCTCTTGTAGATGGGCGTCTTTTCCAGCTTTTTCCATAGCTCTGGATGCGGACGCTTGCGGCTCTTCCACTCGCAGCGCAAAGGTGTCTTATTGAAGCGCAAATATTGCTCGATTTTGTCATTGTCGACATCCTCCTCCAGCTCCCAGGTGCAGTCCTCGTAGGGCAGCGATTTCCATTTAACCAAATAGTGTTTGGTCGTCTCGCCGCTGTTTTCGTCCGTGTGCACAGACATGTCCAGCACGCGATCGACCTCAACGAAATCGGGATTGAAGGGCTCCTCTTCGATGTTCTCGAATATGTTGATCTGCTGTGCCTGCTTCTGCTGGAATCGCCTGATCTTGGCGGCCACACGGCGATCACCCTTGAGCAGCTCTTCTTCGGTGCGCCATTCGCAGTGCAAATAACTGAAATTGCGATATTTAACAAAATACTCTTCCACATCGATGAAGACCGGTTCGGGTTTATCCTCTTTCGGCTCCGAGTCCTTGGATTTATCGCCCTCTGCTTCTGCTGCTGCTGTCTTCGCCGCCTCCTCCTCCTCCTCTTCGGTCTGTTCTTCCTTCTCTTTGTCGCTGTCAGTTTCTTTTTCTGCCTTTGCCTCGGCTGTTGTCTCGTCTTCTGTTTCGGTTTTTACTTTGTTCTCTTCTGCCTTAACTTCGGCTGCAGCCTCATCGATCTCCATTTTCTCTGTTGCTTCAGGCTGTGCATCTTTATCTTTCTCTTTCTCTTCGTCTTCCTCATCGTCCGTTTCTTTTTCTTTACCCTCCTCCTCCTCCTCCTCCTCCTGCTCATCTGCTTCGTTCTTTGGCTCAGCTGGCGTTTCATTTGCTTCATCAGTCTTGGCCTCTGCTTCTTCTGCATTCGCTTGCTTCTCTATTTTCTGGGTTTCTTCAGCTGCTTTCTCTGCAGCTTCGTCAATGTCCATTTTCTCCTTCTCCGCCTCCGACTCCGCCTCCTCGTTGTCGGGCGTCTCTTCGTCGCTTTTCTCAGCTGCCTCCGACTTAACTGTCTCCGGCTTTTCATCCACTTCCATTTTGTCGGATTCGGTTTTCTGCTCTTCCGACTCTTTCTCCAGTTGTTCCTTGTCATCTTCCACTTTGGTGGACACTTCTGCTTCAGCTTTGTCCTCCGCCTTGTCCTCGCATTTTTCTGCGGTTTCTTTCTCTGCCGCCTGCTCTGCCTCCTCTGCCATTTCTGCCTCTGTCTTGGGCTCTGGCGTCTTGACTTTGGGCGGCTCTGGTATTAGCTCCCGCTTGCCCATGCGCACCGCCAATACAAGCTGCACCACCATGCTGTCCTCGTCGCCGGTATTGATGTACACATAGTTCGGCTTGGAGGACATGGAGGCTGCGGCAGCGGCGGCAGCATCACTGGCGCTTTGTCGTTCCGCCTTCTCCGCTGCCGAGGTGCTGGAACTGGCCTCCAGTTGACTGTTGGTGTCATCTGCCGCCACCGAGGGCTTCTCTTCGCCCGCCGAGCTGCCGGCCTCGCCCTCGGCGCCAGATTGTGGCTCTGTCTTCTCCACATCGCTGCCAGCATTCGAGTTGGCCGCATTCGCCGCCGACGATTTCTTCTCCTTCTTGACCGGTGAGGCCACCAGCAGCGAGTTCTCATCATCGGAGAATCTCAGCATGACGTCATCGATGTACTTCTTACGCTGAGTGTTGCGCGACGAACGTCGCTTATTCGAGTCGAGCTCCGAATCCGGGGGCGGTGATGGCGGCGGCGTACGATCCATGGTATCATCCTCGCCATCCGATTCGGGCACAATGCGTCCGCGATTGCGTCGCTTCTTGAGCGCCTTGGCGCTCAGCGATCCGCGATTCCGTCGCGCGCTGCCGCCCTCCTCGGACGTGGCATTGCGACGACTGCGCGCCGTGGAACGTTTGCGATCCCGCCGGCTGGGCGTGCTGGCCGCATCGCCAGCCGAATCGGGCACCGAATCGACGGTCTCATCGCCGGCTTCGGCATCTTTGTCATCGTCGTTGGCGCCGCGCGGTATCTTGGAAACAGGTATATCATCGTAGTCGGGCGATTCACCATCAACGCCACCGGCACCGCCGACGCTGGTCTCAACCTCGCCGTCATTCGACTTGGGCAGCAGCGGCTTGTTGTCCTCCAGTTCGCTGCCGTCGCCGGTCTGTTCGGCGCCATCGTCGCCGAACTGTTTGCGTCGCTTGCTAACGCTGGCGCGTTTACGGCCGGCGGCGGGTGACTCCGTCGAGTTGGGATCGTTGGGATCACGCAGTTTCTTCACCTTGGGCGTGCGATCACGCGGCGGTTTGTTCGGATCCTTGGGTGTGCGTGGTTTGCGCGGCTTCTTCTTCTTGCCGCTGCCATCGGTGGACGTGTCCAGCTCATTGGCCGAATGCACATCCTGCGACAAGTCGCCCATGCCCTCGCTATACTCGAGCAGCCCCACAACGCTCGTGTCGCCAGCTCCCTGGGTCACGCAATCCTCCGAGACGGGCAACTGGGTGGTGGGTATGCTGCTGCTGCTGCTGCTCGCACTGGCCGCGGCCACAACAACATTGCCGCTGATGTCCATCAGTTCCTGTTGCTGTTGTTGCTGCAGCGCTGCCGCCGCGGCGGCCGCCGCCTTGTCGCCCTTCTTGGCGCGCGGCTTGCGCGGCTTGTTGGCGCCCTTGCCGCGACCTCGGCCTGTTGTGCTGGACACCTGCGGGCTCTCGACCATCTGATTGTGCAGCACACTGCTGCCGTACATGGGCGGCATGCTCTGGTAGAGCAGACACTGTGGTCCGCCGGCGCACTGCTCGGCTAGCTCGTGCTGTTGCAGCAGATTCAGGCGCTCCTGCAGTCGCATCAGCTTCTCCTGATGCTGATGCTCATGACCGGGCGGCATGCAGTAGAGCTCTTGGATTTGTTGCTGCAACGCTGCAATTTCCTGCTGATGCAGCATCGGATACGGCGGATACATGCCGCCAGCTGCGCCCGGATAGGGTGGCAGCAACGGCGGTATATGTGTTGGCGGCGGCGGTGGTGGTGGCACCGGAACCGTTGTTCCCTGTGCCGTGGCACCCAGCGGCGGCTGCGTCTCGTAGCCAGTCAGCGTATGCGGCGGTATCGGGGGCATGCCCAGACCCAGCGGCGTCTGGCCCAGTGGCTGCTGCTGTTGTTGTTGGCTGAGCGTTATGTCCATTTGCGTTTGGCTTTTGTCCTCGCATATTTCTTCAGCGGATTTGGTCTCCTCACCACCGCCGCCGCCGCCGCCGCCGACGATAGCCAGCTCGCTTAGGGTCTGCTGTGTTTGCTCCGCCAGCAGCTCCTCGGTATGCTGCGGCTGCTTGTGATTGCTGTTGTCTAGCTCCTCCTGTGCCGGCAGCGTGGTCTCGCTGAGCATCTCCGGCTGCGTCTTGGACACGCTGTTGTCATCCTGCGCCAGCTGTGCACACAAATCTCCGCCAGCAGCTGCTGTTGCCTGCTGCTCCGACTCACAGACGCTCTTCTCAAAGTCCGCATTCGACGATTGCGAATTACTGTCGAGCAACGCCGCCGCCGCATTGGCGGCATTCGAAGCGGCCGCAACAGCCGCAGCGCTGGTCGAACTCATCGAATTGTTGTCAAAGAGACCCACATCGACGCCGCTCACATGGTGCGTGGTGTGCGCCGAGTCCGAGTTGCTGTTGAGCATGCTGTTCGCCACGGCATCCATGCCCGAGAGCAACGGCTGCTGATTGTTGCTGTTGATGCTGCTCTGCGAGTTGCTGTCGTGCACCGAGGTCGGCTGATTGTTGACAATGCTGTTCGTGCTGCTGTTGCTGCTGCTGTTGTTGCTATCATTCGCGGCGACGGCCAGCGTTGAGGAGTCATTCGAGTTGGCCGTCTCGTTGAGTATGCTGCTCAGATGATGCGAGGGCGTTGACGGTATGGGCGTGGCTGGTTGCTGTTGCTGCTGTTGTTGATGTTGCTGCTGCTGCTGATGTTGCTGCTGCTGTTGATGTTGCTGCTGCAGCTGCGGTATGGGCGAGCTGACATGCGCAGGCGACATGATTTGCTGTTGTGTGGCAGCTGTGGATGCAGCTGCCGCTGCTGCTGCGGGCGCTTGCGGCGTGTCTGTCAAGATGTTGGCAAATGCATCAAATTGCTGTTGGTGCTGCTGCTGCTGTTGGTTGCTGCTCTGCTGCGCATAGCTGGGCAGATGTTGCTGCTGATGCGGCGACTGTTGCTGATGTATGGGCGATTGATGCTGCTGCAGCTGCTGATGCGACGGCTGCTGCTGTGGTGCTTGGGCTGCACTAGCCTCTAGCGTCGGCTGCTGTTGGTGATGGGCCGCAGCGCTCAGATGATGCATGCTGGGCAGGCTCTGCTGATGCAGTGGCGAGGAGGACATTTGTGCGCTCAATTGAGCCTGCTGCTGCGCCTGCTGGTTGCCACCCACAATGTCATTGATGGAATGCTGCAGTTGCTCATTCAGCTGCTGTTGTTGCTGCTGCTGCTGCTGTTGTTGCTGCTGCTGCTGCTGCTGATGTTGGGGCGCCGGTGGCTGTGCGGCGGGCGCTGCTTGTGGCTGCTGTGTTGGCACGGGCACTGGCACTGGCACGGGTACGGATACGGGCACAGATACGGGCACAGATACTGGCACCGGCACCGGCACCGGCACCTGTTGGGCCATGCTCTGTCCATACATGCTCAGCTGATGTTGCTGATGCTGGGCTGCTTGTGCTGCCTGCGCTGCCTGTGCCGCCTGCGCTGCCTGCGCTGCCTGTGCTGCCTGTGCTGCCTGTGCTGCCTGTGCTGCCTGTGCTGCTTGTGCTGCCTGTTGCTGCTGCAACAGGGCATTGGCTTGCGCCTGCTGTTGGGCCTGCTGCTGTGCTTGCTGCTGCGCCTGTTGCTGTGCCTGTTGCTGCTGCTGTGCCTGCTGCTGCTGTGCCTGTTGCTGTGGCGGTGGCTGCTGTGCCGCCTGTTGCTGCTGCTGCTGTTGTTGTTGTTGCAAGGCCGCCATATGCGGCGCGCCCCATTGCTGATGATGCTGCGGCGAGGGTGAGGCGGGCATGCGCGGTCCCATGACCGCAGCGCTGCGATACGATGTGGGATAATCCATGGGCGGCAGGCCATGCGCCTGTGTGGGCATGACCATTTGTTCGAGTGCTTGCAGCGTATTGACTACCGGCGGCACACCGCCAGCTGCCACGCTAACGGGCACTTTGGCCCCGCCGGCGGCTGCGCTGGGCGGTTGCGGTCTCGGTGATGGCAGACCAACCATGCCCTGTATGCTGTGCTGGCTGGGCGAGTTGACCTGCTGCTGCTGTTGCACCTGCTGCTGCTGTGCTGTTTGTGGTGGCTTGGCGGGCGACACGCCCACTGGACGTGGCGACATTTGCGGATGCGGCGACATGGTGGGCGGACGCGGCGACATCTGGGGCGAGAGTTGTGGAAACGGTGCACGATACTGCGGCGAGGAGTTGAGCTGAGCGCTCGCCTGATGTTTGCTGCTGGACATATAGGGCGGTGCGCTCTGCTGCTGCTGCTGCGCCTGTTGCTGTGCCTGCTGCTGTGCCTGCTGCTGTGCCTGCTGCTGCTGATGGTGACTGCCATAGCTGGGCGGCATGCCCATGTGAGGAGGCGGCAGGACAGCGCCTGGCAGCTGCTGCTGCTGCATCAGGCTCACATGGTTCGGTTGTTGCTGCTGTTGCTGTTGTTGTTGTTGTTGCTGCTGCTGTTGTTGTTGCGCCTGCTGCTGCTGCTGTGTCTGCAACTGTTGCTGCTGTGCACTGGCTATATGCGCGCTGGGATGCGCACCCAACTGCGCAGCCTGCTGCTGCTGCGCAGTCAAGTGATGCGTGGGCGGCGCTGCGCCAGGCACGTGCTGGCCATAGGCACTGGCCTGATCCAGTGCCGCATGGCCGTAGCCCACGTGCTGGGGTGCACCGCGTCCCGGCTGATGTTGCATCGGGCTGCCGTAGGGACTGTGCGCGTATGCCTGCGGTGCTGCCGGCTGTGCTGCTTGAGCCGGCGCGCCCGGATACAATGGATGTTGGCCGGGCGCCTGTGGATAATGCTGCGGCAGACGAGCCTGCTGCTGGCTCTGCTGCTGCTGCTGTTGTTGTTGTTGTTGTTGTTGCTGCTGCTGTTGTTGTGGCGTAGGTGGCTGTTGTTGTTGCTGCTGCTGTGGCGCCAAACTGCCATAGCCGCTGGCACCCAGGGCGCCCATCATATTCTGCTGCGCGCCATAGGGCACCAGTTTTTGCTGCTCCTGCTGTCCGTAGGCGGGCATGTGCTGGCGATAGGCGCTGGCGTTGCTCTGACGCTGCTGCTGCGTCGGCGGCGCCGCCTGTGGATGTCCATAGGCGCCTAGGCCAGCGCCTGGATAGGCAGCTGCCTGGCCCGGCACCGATGGCGCCGCACCCCAGCCGCTCAGATCGCCCATGCCGACGCCCATTGCTGCATGCTGATCGGTGGCCCCCAGCCCGTACAGGTTCTCCGCCGTTGGCTGGTACGATGGATATTGTGGCTGTTGCTGTAGCGGATGCGGCGCCCGATGACGCGGCGGATAGCCGCCTGGTGGGCCCATGGCCCGCGGATTTGCCGCTGCGGCAACGGCTGCTGCGGCGGCCGCATCATAACGGTAATAGGGATCTCTGTGTGTCAAAAAGGGAGAGAGCAAAATTTTAGAATGAGATGATATGGCAAAATACACATGAGGTTTTAGAGAGAGTGCTACGAAACCCAAAAACTGAGAATCCCGGATATATTCTTTACGTCTACATACTTAAAACTTCTTCAAATTAAACCCAAAACTATAAGAGATGCCTTATCCGTATCCTTTCATTTTGGGGTTATATTGTATGTATTATATTATAGATATATAATAGACGGAACTGACTAAATTGACTTGACTATAGCTAGTATTAGGAAGTGTTGCCTGTGCCAAATATTATAGCATACCATATTTCTTATAGCTCCCAAGTTGTAAAAAAGAGTCAAACATTTTTAAAACTTGTGCTTCTATAAAAAGTGACTACTACATTAAATAGCTGCCATTAAAAAAATCGGACTAAAATTCAGGTTTTTTGATGATATATATAGAATGATATCTCATATAAATATATAATAATTTAAAATCATCTACAAAACCTTTGTTCAGATATTTTACAGAATAAATATATGTGAAACAATTTAAATTCATCCAAAAAGGCATTTTTAGATATTTAACCGAAATTCTTGCTAAAAAACAGACAAGAAAAATAGATATTTTTTTTAGCAGCCCCAATACACCCACACCTACAACCACGCCCACCCACAGAGTCAGTGGGCGGTGGAAAGCGATTAAAACTCACCCTTGATGATTGCCGTGAAACATATTTTGTGCATTTCCATCCATCAGATTTTTGAAACGCAGCGAACACAGAAAATTCCCGTTACGCGTCGAAGGACGCGACGCTGCGTTTTCAGGTTTGGTCGTCGATTGGCTTAATTTTGATGCTGCTCTCTGCGCGTGGCCGTTGTCAAATTGGGATATATACTACGGTTCGTAGGTGGTGGTGGGGAGATTGGATGGGTGTTACGGTCTGGCAGGATGCGTCCTGCCGCGACGTTGACTCATTTAACCACAACGCAGTGCTGGAACGTTCTTCTACACTGTGAGAAATACCTCAAGTTCCTTTTTTTAGTCGGTTTTTCCTTTGTATTGTTTTGTTTTGTTTTTGTTTTTCCTTTTCTTGTTTGGAGTTTGTTGCTAACTACTAAACTTAATTACAGCTCATGTGCAGTTTTTGGGAACGTCTTCCGTTATTTATATATATATATATATATATATATATATATGTTTATTATTTTTATAGTGTATACACATTTGTGTTTGTCCTTTTTGTTGTTGCGCACACTTCATGGCCGACCTTTGACATATTCGCAGTGAAACATTTGCTCACAGCTGTAAAAATTGTTAAGATAAACGTTTCGGTTCAATTAAAATAAGTTCTATAAACAAAACAAAAACCCCTAAACTTTTGCGTAAAACGGTAAATTAACGGTAAACGTATTGAGCGATTTTTTTTTTCTTATTTATACGTAGAATCTGAAAGAAGAGGAAAAAAAGAGAAATGCAAATTACTAAATTGCTTTATGTGAGCTTATACTAGTTTAATACTATACACTAATTCTATGCTAAAGTAACTACATGGGAATTATTACTGGTACAGTGGTTACTCGTTAATGGTAAACTCTGCATTTTATTTATTTATTACAGTGTATTCTCGAGAAGTAAAATTGAGTGTTGTTTATTTTGATAAGATTTGAATTTGATTTAATATGATTTTAAAACTCTTCAAACCAAAATAGAAGCTTAGATTCGAGGCTTAATGCCTTGAAATGGACGACATTTTTTACTTCTAAAAGTTTCTAATTCCTGGAGATGTTACAGCATCTTCTGGAATTTAAAACTAGCTGTAAATTATTACACTTTAGAAGTGATATTCGCCTTTTTCAATGCATTAGACGCCTTCAATTCAAAGTTCTAATTGTTTAATTTGTTTCTTACAATCTTAAATATGTTTTAATATAGTACATTAATTTAAGAAACATTACTGCAGGTTAAATGTTAAAATGGATCTAGGCATATGCATGTAAGGTAGCTTTTAGCTTATTGAGCGCTCACTGTATATACATAGCTAGATATTGGTTGCTTAGGATTTATCTAGGTTGTCGTCACATCAACGTTTAAGGGGAAAAGCTATACGCTTATGAATTTCATCATTTACACATACAACGTACAGTTTGACCCCCTAAACATTTGAGTGTTTTTCTACACAAAGCTTTAAGATGCATGTTAATAGAATTGTAAAGAACCTGGAATCTATTGAAAATCTCAAAACTTTTCAGCTAGGCTGTACCGAAATACCATCCCCCGAAGAAAAATGTAACAAAAGAAGCTACAAAATTGAGACGAAGTGTTGGAAAAGGGGACAAAAAAAAGGGAAAAGTGTTAGCAATTAATGAGGCGTGGATTAAGACTGGCCGTTGGTATTGCCATGGTAGGCTACGCTTTAACTCCCTTCTTTGGGAGGCTGGAAGGCATTTCTTACGAGATTGTTTTTTGTTGCTGCTGCTGCTATTGCCGGGGGTGTTGGTGGGTGGTGGCGACATCTTTGCAGTGAGAAAAAACAATGGCAACTCTATCGATTTTTCGCATTGTCTGCAAAGGTTTAGCCCCAAAAATCTAAAGTAGCAGCAGAAGTAAAAGCACGAAAAAAAAAATAATGTGAAGCAACAAAATAAAAAAGAAGGTGATGCGGGTGTTGCCCGTTGAGCAGCATTTTTGAGAGGGGTGGGCGGTGGTGGTTAGGCAGCAATGCCCAAAAGATATGCAAATGTTGCAAACAGCAGCCAAAAGGTGCGGGGTATCTGTACAATTGTGTGTGTGTGTGTGTGTGTGTGTGAGTTAGTGTGTTTGTAAATGGAAAGTGTATGCCAAGTGGAGAGATACAGCGAGACAAAACTACAGTCAGCGCAATTGTATATACGAGATATGCAGCAAGTAGCTCGCATCCTAAGCTACAGTGGTCGCTCGTTAATTAGAACATACAAAAATTACGAAATTATTTAGAAACATTTTTTTAATGTTTGCAAATACAAGGTTAAAATTCTGAACTATTTTTTGCTAAACGAAAAAGTGAATTTTAAATAACTTTAAATTACAAATAAAGAATGTATCACCTAGTAGTCGACTAGTATTCGTGCCTTATTTTGGTAACAAGCTGTGCTTAAACTCTCCGGACTACCGAGATATAATTTTATTTGTTTATAATTTATTTTTTTTTTGTATTTTTGCATTGGTGTTATTTTTTTTTGCATTTTAAAAAGTTCTAATCTGCTTGCTACCACTGTACGAAATATACAGTTAGCAAGTAACGCACACACACACACACACATGCCTAGAGGTACCGAATTGCGCTCTGTGTACTGTTATAAATACGTGCGCACATATTTCGCTTACCAGACAGTCAGGCAGGCAGGCAGTCAGCCAACCACAGTGGCAACACTAACTCACAAACACACACGCACACATGCACAAACACACACACACGAATATATATAATAAAGCCCCCATACAAATACTCACACACATAAACACATGCATCAAAAACTTATGTGGAGTGCATGACATGAGCGCTAAGCTCGCTTAGGCTTTGCCTCCCGCTTACTCTCCCACTACAAATTGCCTGCTCCTCTTCGCACAGCACCCCTCCCTTAAGCACCCGCACTCCTCCTCTTGGCTTCTTCGCTGCGAGTTGTTCGCGCTCGCGCTCATTGGGCAATCATTTAGTCAGTCGTCGTTGTTTGTTGTTGTTGTTTGTAATCAATTACATTTTGCTTTTGCAATTTCAGCTATTTATTTATTTAGTTTCAGCTTTTTTTCCATTATTATTAGTCTAGGTATTTGTGTGTGTTTGTGTGCAAAGTTTGTATCTAGCAGATAGCTATGTTTATATGTATGTATGCATGTATGTATGTGTACATGTCATTGAGTTTACGTTTTTTTTCTCCTCTTCGGCTGCTTTTGCTACGTTTTTGGCGTCGCCAACGTTGCCGTCAAGTAATTGCAAAAACAATACACTAAAAGCAATAGTAATATGTAAAGCAACAACAAAGCATCTGAAAAAAATGTGAAATTATGTGTGTGTGTGTTTGAATTGGCTATGCGCGCACAACTGTACTTTTGTTTTAAATAAGCGAAAAATCGATTAAAGGTGATAATAGACAAGCAAATTTCTGTGTGTCCAACTTGGTGACGACAAACGTCGCTGCTGACCCGACGCAGCCGCGCCGCGACGCGACGCGCTTGTTGTTGGCTTTTGCAGGCTGGGCAGGCAGGCAGGCAGCATTAGCTTCGTCTCTCTGCTTTATTTTATTGCGAGGCAACAACAATTTTATGGGACAGTTCATTTTCTTCGAGTGTTGCCCAACAGTTTTCCAACTGCTCAAATTGGGCGCCTGAAGCATCGATTATCAATTGTGCTTGTGCTTTTGTTTTGTTATCGATAAACAAAGCGCAGCGCTGCCAATTTCATGCAAATTGACACACAAACAGCCGATCACTGTTAGAAACAGTAGCTCAAAGCATAAGCAGCAATTGAAGAAACTTCAAACAACAACAAACGCCCAATACAGTAACTACTAACAATAAAAAGCGGAATATGATTAAACATTTTGCAACAGCCGCAACAACAATGTGAGAGCACAAGCAACAAAAGTTCATTCACCTTGTCAACAAAAAAAAAAAAAAAGCAATTTTTTTTTAAATTTACTCCGCGCGCGCGTCTTTTGGAGAGTTGAGCTTTGCTTTAGCACTGGGCTTGCGGCATTCGTGTTTTGAAATGTAACCAACATTTGACCCACAATAAATAATAATGGTATGAGAATGGAATGTGTGGAATGGAGTGTTGTGTCACTCCAGCAGAATGGAAAGAAGTGCGCATCTACATACATACATATGTATGTACATATTGCTCTCTAATGGCAATCAAGTCAAGTAGTCAAGTGGCTTTTGGTGTGTACGCCGGGTGCGCCGGGCACTAACAGTAACTAAAAAGTACAGTTGGTTTTTGTAAGAAAAGCAACAGCAGCCAGTCAGCCAGAGGCAGATGATGGGTGCTGCACACACAAACAAACAAACAAACACACACACACAAGCAAACACATAAGAAATGGTAATAAAATAGGTAAAGTAACAGCCACACACAGTTTTTTCTATTTCGGTTGAGTCAAAGAACAGCAAATACAGCAACATAAATTACAACACGTCGCAGCTTTGAATGTGTAACGGTGCATTTATGACGTCCCTGGGCCCCCAACAATTGGGTGGCAACGCTGCTCAATGCTGACGTTGCAATTACTTGAAAGGCAAGTAAAACCGACAATAGAACAAGAAAAACCAAAAATTGACGCCATGTTTCCCGCTAGAATTGCCGAAATACAAAAAAAAAAAACGTGTAGAACAAATGGCCATAGCCTGACCCGATTATCGAGTTAAACTGTTGTATAAAATTTGCACCTGGACCTAAACCGGATAGTGCCATTGTGTATGCAATAACAACAACAAATACATCCGAGCTGAAACAAACTTGCAAACACACAGCAAGCCGCTGCTGTGCGAGAGCGATATGAACCGAGAGAGCCCGAACGAGAGCGAGAGCCAACGAACGAGAGCGTGAGAGCTCAGCGCCGGCTGGGTAAGAGAGAGAGAGAGAGAGAGAGCGAGCAGTAACAGCGGCGAGTAAAAAGAAGAAAACAAAGAAGGAAAAGAAAAAACAGCCCAACAAGTGAAAAAAAAAACAACAACAAAAACGTCTGGCAAAAGCGTAGCGTGCGCTAAAGAGCCAGTCAAAAGCGAATTTACAAAAGCAAAGCGAGCATATCACGTGCTGCCACACAGCCGATAGCACAGACCGAACAACGTGCGGGATGTGCGGTGGGTTTGGAGCAACAGCAACAACGTGTGCCGGCCTTTGGCGGCAGAGACTGAGCGAGCCAAGCAGCGACGCCAACTGAGGCGCCAGCGTCATATTAGACAGATGGCCGGCAATGTTGGAGGCGACGACAACGACGACGACAGCGGCGACTGAACGTCAGACTGCGGCGTCTTTCGTATAGAAAGAGCGTTGAAAAGAGACGGCCAGTTGACAAGAGCAGTCAAAACAAAAATGCGAATGAACTGAACGAAAAGCAGGGCACAATAGACGAGACGATTACTTTTGGAGTTGGCAGAAGAAATTGTTGCTGTTGTTGTTTTTTGTGGACGCTTGTTAGTTTGATAAGTTGGGTGGTGCTGTTGATGATAGAGACGGGAGGGGGGGTTGAAAAGCGAAATCTGGCAAAAGGCCTGCGACCGACTGTGAAATATACGAACGCCTCGCGTAGATACAACAAAAGCGTGTGTAGCAGCAGCCATGATGGCGAGAATGGCCAGCGACAGCGCTGATGACGAAGACGGCGACAAGTACAAAACACGTATTAAATATGCATGTGTATGGGTGTATGAATGTATGTATTGGTGTGTGTATGTGTATTGGAGATTCGCATGATTCGTGCAAATTCGCCGCATAGTTGCCCTGCTGCGGCGGCTGACGTTGCCGTTGGTATGTTGTTTGCTCTTGTTGTTGTTGGTGTTGCTATTTTATTCGCATTCGCATATCGTTTAAGTACGCGCGCTTATGTGTGTGTCTGTGTTTTCGTATCTGTGCTCTGTCATGGGCATGGGCTGCGTGTGTATTTGCCTGCGAATGAGTGTGTGTATGTGTGTTGGTGCGTTGGGGTCGTCGTCGTTCATATGTTTTTGCTTGTTGTTTGGTCGGTTTTGATTCGGTTTTGGATGGATGATATGCTTTGGCTTTGGATTGCCGCTTGCCTGCCTGCCTACTACTGCTGCTGCTGATTTTCATCCATCCATTCGCGCTCTCCATTTGCCGCTTGGCTCTCGCGAACGACGACCGGTCATGCATAAGTGTCGCTGTCATTGTATGTGTGTGTGTGTCGCTGCGCTCTTCTTGCCGCGATTCGATGAATTGTTTGCTTCAGTTTTGCTGTTGTCGCCACAGTCCAAGTGACTCGCCGTCATCATCTTCGTCGTTCTCATTTGCACGTCACGTAAAGCGCGTTGTAGTGTTATTACTTTAATTTTTCGCCGCAGCTCCACCAACACCCTGACAAAAAACAAAAAATACCCAAAACTCAAATGCCTGGCCGGCCTCTGCCCGCTCTCTTCTTTTACTCTCTCTCTCTGTATTTTTTATGTCTCCCTCTCACTCTCTCAGATGCAAGAGTCGTATGCTGCTGTTAATGTTGTTGTTGTAGTTGCGGGCGGACGACACGTTGTTTGGGGGCGCGTGTGACGTTTATTTTATTTTTTACTATATTTCTTTTTGTCGGCCGTCCAAGCAAAGAGTTGATTGAAATTATTTCGGGTTTGTGTGTATGTGTGAGTTCGTTTTTCGCTCAATTCATTTGTGTGTGTGTGTGTATGTATGTGTATGTGTGCGCTCGTTCATTTTTATTTGCTGGCTGAGTGACTGACTGCTGGCAGCGCGCTGCTTTGTGTTTGCTCGTGTGTATGCGTGTGCTTGTGTGTATCTGCTTTTGGTTAAAGATACATAATTATTTCTAAAAAGCATTTTCTGCCTTGCCATTGTTGTAAATTTCTCGAAATTTCACGTTTCGTCTGTGCATAGCATTCGCATTTGAAATTTCATTACCGTGCCCAACTTAATTAACTACAAAAAAAAGAACTCATACTAAGGCATCGACTACTTACTTACATATATAGATATATATAAATATATTTGCTCTTCCACTCACCTCTCTTTGCTTTGGGGCTGCTAATCCGTTGGACTTTTTGCGTGTTTATTGCTTGTAGTACAAATTGAATTTTTTTCTGATTATGCATTCGCTTCTGACTTTGCTTTATATATGTATATATTATTTTGCCCGATTGACAGAGCGACGAACCTATCGATAGTTATGTATGCAGCGCCATTTGCCTTTTACGACGGCAACAGCGCGACATCGACAACTTTGAAATGTGAATGATGACGAACAATGACGGATGACGGATGGCGAATGCGAATGGCAACAACAAGAACAACAATGCTAATTCGAGTGTAGATACACGAAGCAACACATGCGAAATAATAATTGTAGCACAATTGCAGCAACAACAATAAAACGAAACGCCTATGAGGCAGAAAAAGAAGGAAAAAAAAACGGCAATAGCAGAAGTAGTAACAGAAACGGAGCGAAAACTACAAAAGCGCAACGACTGAGGCTGCCCATTGCTGCTGCTTCTTCTTCCCGCTGCTGCGACTTGAGCAAATAGCTCACACACACACACACTCACGCGCGATAATTACAATTAAACATGATATACGCGCAGCACTCGGCTATTGGGGCCGGCGGTCTGTCACCGTTGCCAGAGCCAAACAAAGAAATCAATAGATATTGTTGAAAAAAAAAAACATACGTACGTATGAAGCAGACGTGAAAACGTTTGTGTAATTGGAAAAGGAAAAGCAGCCGTGGCAGCGAAGGGGCAACGGCAGAAGCAGCCAAAAAGAAGTCATGAAAAAAATTGTTACAGCCGCCGCAGACGACGAGACTGCGACGGCTGCTGTCATCAGTGTTGCCAACTTTTCAGAATCCAAAAACAAAATAAAGCTAGTTTTAGGGGGAAATTTGTTTAAAAAAAGCTAATTTTTAATTATAACAAAAAGCTAAACGAAATAAGCATTTGATCATCTATCTAAAGACCTGTATATACTAATTAAGATAAGCCGAAAATTATTTGGGTATTGATATTTAATTAAGAGAAGTCAAGATTGGGTTATTATATGAATCTTATTTTAGAATTTTTACTGCTATTAAATATAGCGGATAAAATAAAAACACGTTAAACGAAATCTGCGGAGTCGCCGTTTCCCGCTATTTTCATAATTGTTTCTCATTGCACTTTTAAGAGCCAGATTTGATGTTAAATTAGCGGAATTGGCAACACTGGTAGTCGTTGATGGCGCCGAGAGCAGCGGCAGCGACGGCGAGCGCATGAAAATGTACGCTCTCATCAATTGCGCTTAATGCGAGAGAGCGCGGACATAAACAGCGAGTGCCCCGGCTAGAAAAACGTGTGGCTGCTGTTGGTCGCCTATGTATAAGTGTGCGTGTGTGTGTGCAAAGGAGGTAGACATATGACAGCCAGCGACAGAGATGAGACAAATCAAATGAAGAAAAGACAATGCAAGCGCTATGTTAAAGTCCAGTGCAACAACAATAGCAATTCTGCGCTGTCATTGCCGCGACACACACACACGCACACACACACACTTGCGCTAAATGGATACCGTTGCATGCAGATGTTGTCTGTTTGCACTGAGATTGTGCGAACGCGTAAATCACTGAAAATACACACACGAGGTACGCACTCACACAACGCACGAAATATGAATAGAGCCCAAAAAAAAATTACACGCAAATGAACGCAGCGGGGGCGCGCAGCAGCCGAACTACATGCGACACGAAAACGACGAGCAGCACATTTGCACAGGTGTGTGCATCTGCATGCGATTGTGTGGCAACGCTGCTGCAGCGAGAGACTAATACATACACACTAAATATATGCTGGCTGCGAAAAACTGTTTTTTTTCTTCCTTCTTTCGAACATTGCAAAATCAACGCGGGACACACGCCACTCACCAAATACAAAAAATAAGATACAAAAACAAATGTAGCAAGAAGCAGCGGGCACAAAGAAATGAAAATATAAATGGCGAACTCGCCACGGCGAATAATTACAATATATACACAAGCAAATGTAAGACATTTTATTGCAGTCACACTTACACACACGCACATGCAAAGACCCCACCAAATAACTGAAAATGGGCGAAAATCATTGACAAGGCGCCGTTTGCTGCTGTTGCTCTGCCCCGCGGCAGAGGTGCAGCGGCAACAATATGACAAATGGCAATGGTAATTTGCCATTTTTTTTTTTAACCAAAAGTAAAAAGCAAGAGTATAGAAATATTCAAAAAATGAAATAAATCTAAACACAGTCACCGCCTCCCTCACAAATTATTTAGCTGCCGAAGTAACGCAAACGAAAACGTATTCGAAACACACACTCACACAAGCACAAAAAGACAAAAAGTCAGGGAGGCAATAATCATTATTATAATCAAACATCATCATCAAGCGAAAATCGAGCATCACCGTCACACACATGCACAGATATACAGACAACTGCACAAAACTCACACATCGACAGACAGCGAGGTCCATTTTTAATTATACAAAAGGTAACGAAAAAGTGTAAAATGCGTTGAAGAAGCGACTTCATTGCGAACGCATTTTAATTCACGCTCTTATTTACATATATTCGTATACTGTGATTTATAATTTTTTATTTTTGTCTAACTATGCCAATTAATTAACACTCACACGCACACAAACACACACCACACATTACATTTATACACATGCACTTGGCCATAATTCGGAAAAAACAATTGAACGTTGACTGCGGCTGCTGCTGCCGCTGCGGTCGTCGTCTCGCGAAATACATATTTCTTTTGCCGTTTTTCTCGTCGTTTGGTTGTCGTTGTCGCCGTCGTCTTGTACTCTCGCTCTCTACTTCTTTCACATTTTTTTCTTCGTTCGAGTGTCTGGTTTTCGTTTCGTAGTTTGGAAAATCATATAACATTTGAAATACGCTCAATACTCGTTTGGTTTTTAGCGCAAATTGTTGCCGGCAACTTTATTTGCATTTTGTTGTTACATTTAATTAATTAATCAATTTATTTTTACCGTTTTACGCAAATTTTTAGCAGCACTTTGTCAGACATGTACGCACCACATCAAAGACCTCCATTTTGTTTAGCAGCGATTAGGGATGATCGATATGTGCTAACCAGTTACTTGCCTTAAGTATTTTTAAAGTAACGATTTCTTATTTTTAATACTTGATGAACAAATACGTGCTACTTATAGAGAATTGTTGTGTGAATATCAAAAGTTGCAACCATAAATTGTTTTAATTTAATATTTTTATTTAGTGTCACATTTTAAATAACATGTGAGAACCACTGAAAGCCCTGGACATAAATACAATGTAACTGATCTTTAGTTTCGATAGCATACAATCGATACGAGGGCTGCCGTTTAAAATGTGCGCCCTGCACTGTGTTACCAGGCGCGATTTAATTAAAAAATTTGAAATATTGATGGACAATGTTCTTAATTTAAAATGTTTTTTCATGTTCATGACGTAGAACTATCACGCTTGCAACTATAATAGCCGACATATTGTTTACACAAACAGTTTGCTTATTAAATGATTAACAATAGCGCTGAGCTAATTGAATGCTACGCTACTTTCAGTCTTTTATTGGCTTGACTATTTTCCCGTTCGTCCTCTTCGGTTGGTGCTTCCGTAACTAAAGCATCCATTTCGTCATCTTTCTCTTCCTCGCTTCGATTGTCATCAGAACTGTCTGAAAATACAATTGGCCCTTCGCCTTTGACAAACATAATCGTTTTGCCCAGACGCCGCGATTCGGCACGTAAAAACAGCTGACGGCAAGAACGATCGATAGCATTTTTGCCCTGATCCTCCGAAAGTCCAAATATAAATGCACTGCAAAAAGAATGCACTATAGAAAATCTATACATAAGTTATATACATCCTTTCAGTTCTTACAGGTTTGCCACATCGTATGGCCCGCGCAGCTGGAATTCATGAGCAGCACCGCTGCTAAAGATGATGTTCCTCGACTTGCCTTTGGTGCAATAATTTTGGGCCACCTTTATCATGTCCTTCCGATTGTTAGAGTCCGCAATGGCCGGTGCATATTTCAGCTCAAAGTAGATGCCGCGTCGCACCGCAATGAGGTAGGGTTTGCGCTGGACCAGCAATCGGGAGCCGGCAGCCGGATCGAATGTGATGATATCGCCATTGAATGAGGTGCAGCAGTGCTGTAAGGAATGTGTGTCCGGAAGTTAATAGAGATTCTTGTTAGAGCCACCACCACTTACCGTTAAGGCTGCGTCCGTTTTGGGCTGTCCAGCGATTAGATTAAACTTGCGCAGATTCAGGGAAACGCTCTAAGTCAGAGATGCAATTATTTGAGTTAGTTTTGCGCGCACTTGTCAATCGCGTTTACTGCATTACCATTGCATGTGCCACATTTGCGTCTACGTACAGTATAGTTATGCGCTGCAATATCCTTATCTTATCCGCAAACTCCTTGCGCAAATGGTCAATTCCGTGCGGCTCCGGAAACACTTCAGAGCCACGTTTGCCGGCCTCCTTTTTGCTGTGATCGAAGCTCTGGTCAATTGCTATCGTCTTATAGCCCAGCTCAACCAATTCGTTTAATATAGCCCGCATTATTTTGTCATCCTTGTTATATGGTATGCAAAAATCATAGAATCTTTTTGTTTGTTCCATTTTGGTTTTAATTGGAAGCCGCAAAACGTGCGTTGGCTCAGAGTTGCTCCCCAAAAGTTATCGATTGAACGATTGTCAACTAAACTTTATTGCCGCTCAACTCAAATAAGCAAAATCAATCAAATGAAAAGCACTTTTAACTATAGTATTTATTTTGTATTTTTCTGGATGTATTTTATTAATTTTTTTAAGTAACTATTTTGTGCATCCGAAATGTTTACAGCGACAAGTACATTTGTTCACACGATCACTAATCGCAACTTAATGAACGATATCAGGAACTTGGTTTCGTTCTTTTAGTTCAATTAATTGTGTGATCAAACGGCTCGAAGCATTAAAATCATAAATATTTTGCTAAAGGTATAGTTTAATATTCAATATATTTATTTATTTTAGTCTGCCGCTAAGTTTGGATAATCTGCATAAATATCATTCAACTTAAACTTAATTGGGTTGAAAAACTAACGAATTTTTTATCCGAATGAACTTTCTAAACTTAAATGTTCAACCCGTCCGTCCGTCAGTCTGGACAAATAGAATAATATTTACATATAATTTAATTGAATATTATTAAGTATGAATTCATGTTTGAACTTAACATTAGAACACGTTCGGTTTTCTTCAACCGTTAATACATTTTATATGAATATATTGAACCGCTCCTATCTGATGGTTAATTGTTTGGATATGCTCCCAACCTCATATTCAACTTTGTTATGTATATATAGGTAATTCCTCATATTGTAACTCCTGCGCTCCTTCTCCGGGTGTGTTGCCAACCCAGAGTATGAGCTGTACATGCTTTTCACAGTCAAACGTTCGCTGTGGGCGTAAGTTCTGCGTTAATATGAATCCTGCTGCAATTTGACCCACTCACCCTTTGGTCTATTGTGCCTTTCAGACTTTGGCGCCCACAGATCGTCGATGCACTTGTAGGGAGGCGGGATTCGAGCTGGATGGGGAACGACTATCCGATATGTTCGCTGCCTGGGGCTGTCGGGCGTGGATGCTGTTGTGGGGGATATTTGTTAACGGGATATGCTACAGTCAAAAGTGTCTCCTTCTCACGTTTTATGCCGTGTCATGGCGTCCTTTCTGGCAAAGGACTTGCCACAAATGTCGCAACAATGCTTGTTGTCCGCATGCGAGGCCGCATGCCGGGTGAGATTATCCTTGCGTTGAAACATTTGGGTGCAGCCTTCGAACTCGCAGGGATACACATACACCGACCCGTGGGCCGTTCTGCAAATTGATGTTCGTTAGCATGTGGGCCTTTAGAGAAAATTCTCGACCTACCTATAGTGTCGCCGCAAGGATTCGATGGTCGCGAACATCTTGGTGCACTCGCTGCAGCCCCAGGTGACAGTCGGAGCATCTGGATCGTTCTCCTTGTGCGTGTTCAGGTGACGCTTTAGTGCTGCTTTATACCAGAACGCCTTGCCACAGCCCGGCTCCTCGCACTTGAAACCCTTGTTTACATCCATTTTAATCCGATTTTAATTATTTTCTGACCTATTTATTTAATTTCGCAGTGCTGAACAATACTCGAGACGCCACGTAAAAACTAGTTTTTTCTACACTTTTTATGCGTGTGCGTCAATTACGCTCAGCAGCTGGCTTTAGTTCGCGTATTTTTGCGCTGCACTAGCCGTAAATAATGTTTATTTTTAATAAATATGTTTGTTATTTTCTCTCGACGTTTTGCAAGCAAATGTCCGTCAAGTGAACATCAATTTGCGAACGGAACCAGTTTTTTCTCATGAACTGAACCTTGTTCAACTGAACCGATGTCAAATACTATCGTATGCTTGGGTAACAGTGCATTTAATTAACAGAGCGCCAATTCGATATGTAATCGAAATACTTTTAATACCCTGTAGCCAGGGAAATAGCTAAAAATGGTATGATAAGTACATACATATATGCTGTTTTGTCTGTGTATCGCTCCATGATTAATTAATTTGTCCAGCATGGACTAATAAGGTTTTGTGTTTTTTTATTTGCACAGAAAGGAATAGGAACAAGAATGCAAGCAATTTCCTAAATTAGACGGTACAAATTCGCTAAGATCCCAATTCCCATGTATCAAGAAACATTTTCACTTTCAGGTATTGCGATTGGAACAGGGGAAAGAGGATCGTTGTTGTTCTCTTGCCTGGAATGGGCCTCGAACTGCTTGGCCTTGGCCCGCCGCGACTTGATGAGTATGCCATGTCCGGGACAGTCGCAGTCCTCGGCATAGCACTTGTCCCGACAGCAGATGCGGCACAGCCGGAACTCGCATTTGGAGCCCAGAGGATTGGCGCACTGCTCACAATACTCGAGATGTCGTTCGTGACGCAGCTGGATCTGTGCCTCCGTCTTGTTCGGCCTCCGCTGGCGACGGCGCAGCTTTTTCATCCGTTTCCGGGATATCTCGTTTCCGGCATTGTCAAAGTACTGGCGCTTGGCGCGATTCGGATCGATGGCCTCGCGCTGCTTCTCGGCGATCTTCTGGCGATGCGATTCGGGCGACGCGCGTATATAGGGCTGGCACAGCCACGGCTGCAGCATGGGCAACTGCCGAGACGCAAGGTTAGAGATGACTTTGAGAGTATTTGTATTATTTATCGCTTACCTCCTCTGCAGCTCCGGCGCTGACATTCAGCTCCATCTCTTCCGGCTCGTAGGCTGCGGCTGCCGTGTGATATGGCTCGTATTTCGCCTGCACCTTGGCCACAACGCTGTGGAATTGGGTCAGTTGATTGGCCGTCGCCAGCTGTTCCCGCAGCTGCGCATTCGAGCGTATATTCATGCTGCAAGAGAGATTACATTGAGGATACACCTGTTGCCAGGCGGGAAAAGGGCAATGCCTGCTTTAACTTACATGTGATGGAACAGCTTGAAGAGATGGCCGCGTATATAGGAGGTGGGACAGGGATAAAGATCAACGAATTCCAAGTACTCATTGGCCATTTGCCACACAGGCGGCGCGATGCCCCGAAAGATGGCCGGATTATGTAGATTACCCTCGGCGGTCATAATGCCATCAACGCCCGTGGCATCCAGGCAGCGATGCACATCGTCCAGTCGCAATATATTGCCGTTGGCAAACATGGGTATCTTGATGTGCTGGCGCACATCCTTGATGTAACTCCAATCGGCAATGCCCGTTAGCGGTCCTTTCTGCTCTCGCGTCCGTCCGTGGACGGTGAGCAGCTGGCAGCCGGCATCCTCCAGCATTTTAGCATAGTTAATGGTCTTTTGCCGATCCTCGAAAATGCGTATTTTACAGGTGACCGGCACGGAGAGCTTCTCGTGCAGCGTTCGCACTAGAAAGCAACAAATATTATGATTATAGTTATTTTATTTATTAATTACAGTTACAGACCGATCTGCGTCAGCAGCTCCCATTCGTCCTGCAGGAAGGAGCCGTAATGGCCGCGCTTGGCAATCGCCTGCGGACAGCCCAGATTAATGTCGACGGCATCGCAGTGATCCTGTGCAGCGAGCGCTGCCTCCAGAATCTGTTGCGGATCATTGCCGCAAAACTGTATGATCAATGGCCGATCCTCTGGACACGTTTGCAGCGCATCCTTGCGATACTTCAGATCGGTGGCAAACAGATTCGCATGGTACATGGGCGAGTAGCAGAGCTGGGCGCCATATCGCCGGCACAGCATGCGCCAGGCCAGCTCACTCTGGTCCACCATGGGGGCCACCACATAACGCGGTGCGCCCAGCACGCGACGATAGAACTCATAGCCGGACAACTTGTTGCTGGGCTCCCGATTCTCGTTTACCATTTCCGGCTGCTGCAATTGCAATTCAATGGGAAAAACATTATTTTAATGTATTTTGCTTGAGATCCGAAATTCATTTGGGATTCTGATTGGAAAGTTGACGTTAGGACTAGGTTACCTAATTGGGAAAATCAAGCTCTACTTGTTTCAATTAATATCCAATAATTTTCTTTACAGTGATCACTCGAAAAAAAGGAACATTTTTTTGTTTGCTTTAAAATATTCAATATATGCTTATCGAATTCCAAATTAAATATTGGTCTTCAGAAATAATTGATTTATCTTTAGTTTAAATTAATATAAATAAAATGCAAATAAAATGTTAGTCATAATTTAAAATATAGTAATGCATTTTTTAGTTTTTAGTGAAAAAAAAGGCTCTTAAAAATGAGAATTTATCAATTCGGAACATAAAAACATTGAAATATAAAAATAAATCGCTTGCTCAGGCATCGATAAATGATATCAATCGTACTCGTTCTCATTTGCGGCGAGTATTTAGCATCGATAAATCGATCGAGAGCGATCCTTTGAGTGGCAAGCAAATCGCATGCCTTGTCATTTGCGGCGAATTAGACTGTTCGCCTGACTTTTGAAGCGAGAATTTGCAAAAACCTTCGCGTTTGCTGTTTCCGTCCAATTATGGACAAATTGTCAAGCGCTTGGAGTTTTTTTTGTTTTCAACCAAACCCACCTGCTGTAAAAGCTAATTAGCGCCACATTAGCAACATAAAAAAAAGAGCAGGGTGCGGCCGTGCGGCGGCAGTTGTACAAAGCGCAAAGCCAAATAAATTTACATGCGCCACAACTGTGGGCGCTTTTGACGAATTAATTTAAGTTTGCTCCAATTACGAGTACACATGTATATGTGTATTTATGTCTGTATGTTTTGGTGCGTGTATAACAGTGCCCTGAACAGCGCGGCATGCATTTTCACTTTCCACGCGATAAATTCGCTTTCGAGCGAACCGCGTGCAAAGCAGCATTAAAAAAAGGCGCTTAAAGTCAGTTTGCGAGCCAGTTGCAACAAAGCGGCAGCTAACAACAATGACTCGCTAATTGAGTTATTCGAGTTGCATGCACTTCGAAGCTACGCAGCTTAACGAAATTTTCAATTTTGCCATCGATACCCATCACCAGGCATGACGGCAAAGTTCATTTAAACGGCTTAAAAATAGTTACAGCTACACAGTACAAAATTTTAGGTATATTTTGGTGTTCATACTTTATACGTTATTAGTTAAATAAGTTAAAAAAGACATGAATATGAAAGCACTCATGAAAAAAAGCTTTTCCCTGATTTAGGCGCTACAGGAATCGAACCAGGGTCTTCTTGTTAATCAGGCAAACGCCTTAGCTTCAATCTACCCTGCTCTGAAGCAGCCTGCTACAAAACTTCTTTTTTTTTATATGAAGAGGGAGGGAAAAGGAGAGATTAAGCAGCCTGCTACAAAACTTCTTAGTTTATATGAAGAGGGAGGGATAAGAGAGCACGAAAATGAAGAGTGTGCATTAAAAATGCAAGTAAGATCGTTTTTATTGCTGTGCAACAGAGTGTTTAACTCCAAGGAGAACTTGCAAAACTTGGCTCAATTGTAAATCTGATTCGCCGTGCGACATGCACACACAAATAAAACTTTTTACATTGAAAGTTTACTGACCGGAAATGGCATGCAATTTTATCACTGACGGCTGCTCGCTTAGCCCGTGAATGTTAAGGCAGCAACTGTTTCTTCTTCTTTTTCTAGATGTTGTCGCGAGTTAAATAGTATTCCTTTTTTATTTTATTTTATTTATTTTTGCTGACAATGCCAGGCATTTGGGCAGCCAATGTCTGTGTGCGTGTAATTAAAGTTTTAAATGTTGTGAAAAGTTTTATTTGGTAACGGAAATTGCATAAGTACTGCGAAAAAACGGGGCGTGGCACTGGCGGCAGCCATGACAGATGTTGGCTGTGTCATAATTATGCCCAAATTACAAGCAACTTTCACAAGTGGCAACGACAACATTTAGCGAAAAGGGGGCAGCCGTTGCAGGCGTCGTCTCTGCTGCACAAATGGGCATTTTGCAATTAAAAACTTTTCCAAATGGCAGACATGGCCTGAATGCAAGAGAGAGAAAGAGAGGGGAAAGGGGGCGCATTAAGAGCGAAAGAGTCAGCGCTAGTACAACTGCAGCAAGTAGGAAGTCGTAAGACATTGTTTTAAAAGGAGCAGTCGCTGCTAAAAGTTATTCCCTTGTAGGTTTTCCCCAAATTGAATGCTCTTTCGCTGGTTTCGAATGGCACCTAGATAAATAGGAGAGATTTGGAACGTTTTGGTAAACAAATACGAATGAATTCTGTAAACCTAATTGGTCGATATTCTATGAAAATGAAAATCTATGAAAATCTATGAAACAATTTTTGGGGCACCAAACAAAAGAGTTGAAAAGTAGCAGAAGATACCAAAATTATATTCTGATCATTATTGTTGTTATAATTAGTTATTATTAATATTTATATTATTTATTATTGTTGTTATCATTATCATTATCATTATCATTATCATTATCATTATCATTATCATTATCATTATCATTATCATTATCATTATCATTATCATTATCATTATCATTATCATTATCATTATCATTATCATTATCATTATCATTATCATTATCATTATCATTATCATTATCATTATCATTATCATTATCATTATCATTATCATTATCATTATCATTATCATTATCATTATCATTATCATTATCATTCTCATTATCATTATCATTATCATTATCATTATCATTATCATTATCATTATCATTATCATTATCATTATCATTATCATTGTCATTGTCATTGTCATTGTCATTATCATTATCATTATCATTATCATTATCATTCTCATTATCATTATCATTATCATTATCATTATTATTATTTATATATTATATATTTATAACAACTTTTAATTTAAATATAAATAATAATCAAACCTTTTAAGAAAAAAAATTGCTAAGGAAACCCAATCCAACTCTCAAAACATTTAAAGAACTTTGACAAACAACATAACCACATTTCTCTATAGAGTATAGAAACAAGTGCAATTGCTGTCGCCGCAAAGTAACTAAAAAATAACTGGGCAATAACTAAAAGGCACTTGCTGTTGAGTAATTAGAAGACCGCCGATAAAGTCACAGAAACCAACTTTATTTATTATACAGAAGTTTCGAAATGATGCTTTCGACGGACATAGAAATTGAATGAGAGCGAACAGCACAAAGATAATTAATAATTTCCGCACCAATTCAGACGAATCAATATCAAATATATCTATGTATGTATGTGTGTATGAGTGTATATATCTATATAGAAAAGTAAAGAGCGTGCCAAGGTTTGCCACATTTGCCGGCAATCGGGGCTTTCACTTGAAAATATAGATAACAAATGGACTGCAGGCAGTCAACCATGGAGCGATAGATGCTCCACCTGCCCCCCTTCTCTCTCTCTCTCCCCTGGCCGCCGCTCTCTTCCTCTCCATCCATCCAAGACCATGCAATTGCTGTTGTTTTTGAAGGCTATTCCCAGTGAGCTAGCTAAAACCCCTGCCCCTCCCGCTCAACCTGCCCCTTCCCCTTTGCGTTTTAAGTAATTTTTATACTCTGTTCACAAGGTGATCAAGAGTATATTGGCTTTCTGCAATACTCGTCTGTTTGCTTGAGTTATTTATGCTCATGTATTTTTTATATATATCTTCCACATTTTTAGAGCTAAAGTACATTTGCTCTAGAGATCGGCCACGCCCATAACCGGACGCCAGCCCAGATATAGCCCAGTGCAGAAATAGATTTACACGGATTTTAGAGTCATCCAAGCCAAGAGAGTATTGTGCAGTCGTTTGCAACCCAATTGAGTTTCCTTTCCACTTTTTTTTTTCACCCTGGCACGCGTCCATTTTCCAATTTTAAAAATGCTTTCGCTGGCTAATCGCAGCGCGCCAATGCTGTTTATTTAATGTTCACCTTCCAGCGCTAGTTCGTCCATAAAAAATGCAAAGCGAAAAAACATTTGAAAAAAACTATAAACAGCGCCCAGGGATGGGCAAGTGCTGAAGCAATTTTTCAATCATCATAAAAATACGAAAGCAAAGCAGTGTTGGGCGCTGTAAAAAAGAAAAAAGACAGTGTTGCGAAAGCGCGAAAGTGACTCCAGAGATTTTCAATGGAAACTTACATATATAATCTTTGATTTACAACCGCAGAGGGAAAAAAATGAATGAGTTCAATTAAAAGGTAAACCAAATGAAAAACTTAGTTAAAGCTGGCGTGTTCGACTAGAATATACCCTGTAACTAAATGTTTTTGTTGCTTTAGGTTCGCAAACAAGCGTCGTGTTCGTCTTTAAATGGTAAATCAGAAGGAGCTTAAATAAAAAGTAAATGTAAGAGTATGCCCGACTAAGACATACCCATTGTCCAGACCCAGACAAATGGTGAGCAAGTGAATATAACATAATCATATACGACTCCTTAATCGAGTACGCGCGACTACCAGATACCCTGTACGTACAGAAAAGTGTAACATTTGACGTTGAATGCTTTGACAGTTGATAAGCTTCGAAGATGAGCTTAGGTTCGATAGTTCTACTCCAACCTATCGATTAGTTATCGATGAGTACTAACGATTATTTATTTAACTTTACAACACTAAGAATTTAAATCTTGTGCTATATTTGAACCAACCCCTGTTCACTTTTTGTTAATAGCCTAACAACTTTATTATGACTAAAAAAATGACACACGAGTACGCTCGACTATAAGATACCCTTTACATGCAGAAAACTGTAAAGTTTGACTCCGAATGCCTTGACAGCTCTATTGATAAGCTATAGTCAAATGTGAGCTTACACTCGTTAGTGATGGTTTAAGTTATCGATTTGTTATCGATAGGCATTAACGTTTATTAAGCTAACTTTACAACACTAAGAATTGCTAAATTTGAAACAACTGCTAACTTCTGTTAATAGCTCA